ATCTTATTTTAATTTATATTGCTTCAGATTTTGACAAATGCCTTTCCATGGTCATGGTATGATGGTCTTTATTTCTATTTTTTTGTATATGTTTTAATGTGTGTTTATTTTCTTTTTGTGTTTTATTGTAAACTGCATAGAGAGCTTCAGTAATAAACACCAGGAAAATCTTGTATTAGAAAGATTTATTATAAATCTTTACTAGCACCAATCTATAATAAATAAAATTTTAGCTATATCAGCAATAGATGATGAGCATGTTGCACATATTTCAATAATAAAACTACATAGAAAAATACACAATTCTGCACATTCCTACATTCTTTACAACATAAAGAAGGCTAGGACATTGTTCAATATGGTTCACAGATAATCCTATGCCAAAATATAATGTCTTCAATAAGGAATTGACTGCACTCACAAGAATCACTAAGCCATAACATGTTTATTATAAACTATAAAACACACACACACACACACACACACTCCTGAAATAACATGGCATATAAAAACCAACAAAAATATTTCTAGTACTCCATAAAGCAACACCTCCCTCACATCCAACAAACAATTTTTGTGAGCTTCAACCACATACTACCTAATACTTGTGGGATACGCCAGGTCTTCAAGACTTATTGGAAGTCTCGGGGCTTGCTGATTCTGAGGTGGACCACTACTGAGGGCAGGGACCACTACTGAGAAGGCATCTTACCTAGGTCCCATTAGATGCAACAAATTGATACATATCTTTATATAATGTGCGTACACACAAAGGTCCAACCTTTTGTAGGCCAGAGATCTCACCTGGTCTTTGATGCTGTGTCAGAGGCCATACTCCGAAAAGTACTGATGGATAAAATTAAATTAATTGCATTATTTATTTTGATTATAATTGAATCTTTATTAAAATAAGTAATTGTTATTTTCCAATGAATTTGTTCATTTTTACTCCTAACATATGAGGGATACCTGTGTGTCATATCCAAGCTTTTGGAAGATCCCAATTGTGCACCTCTATGCTAAACTATTCAGGTTAATGTATAGTAATTACATTATATTACATTACATAATCTATAGATATAAAAGCAAAATACCACTCATGCAGCATCACGAAATCTCCAGAACCGTAAAGCCTACAAACTTGAAATTTGGCACATATGTTCTTCTTGGCTTCTAGGTGCTCACTAAGAAAGGATTTTTCAAAATGACCATCAGGTCATTAGTATTTCCTAATACAGTAATTAACACTCTGATGCTAATGAGTTCTACTCCCCCTCCCTACCCGAAAAGAACTCTGTTCCAACTGCCAGTTGCCTCACATTCCGTTACCTCACATTCTGTTACCTTAGTAACTCCACAGCCATTTGCACCACTCAGGTGACCCAAGAACACAGACAAACCTCCAAGTTGCCTCAAGTTGCAAACTACACTTCCCAACAAGAAGCTACTTTGGCATCAAATGTTGTAGTATTTTTATTACCCACCATCTAATCAGAGCTGAAGAAACTCCTTGGATGAGAAGCAAAACATCTTCAAAGAAAAACCAGAAAGTCCAGTTGGCCTGAAAAAAAGTACCTTTGCGGCAACTGTTGGAGGATTGTATATAACACTTTTGCTGAATGGATGGATGGATGGATGGATGGATGGATGGATGGATGGATAGATAGATAGATAGATAGATAGATAGATAGATAGATAGACAGACAGACAGACAGACAGACAGATGAAAGGGAAGGGAAGGGAAGGGAAGAGAAGGGAAGGGAAAGGAGGAAAGGAAAGGAGGAAGGGAAGGGAAAGGAGGAAAGATGGAAAGGAAAGGAATGGAATAGGGAAAGGAATGGAAAGGGAAAGGGAAAAAGGAAAGGGAAAAAGAAAGGAAACCCTTATTTGTTTCAACCACTGACCACCAGTGAGCCAACTGATTGTGAACCGAATTTCTCCTGCATAGCCCAATCACATAGTTTCGTTGAGAAGCATGGGTATCCAGCTAGTATGTTATATTACTGTTCTGGTGATGTAAATAAGTTACATTATACCTAGTGTGATATATGATCCTTAACTATTAATGTTATGCTGAAAACATAATCTAGAAATTGCATTTTATTCATGAAGTAGTAACATGTATTACTATATTACTTCCGTAATTCACAACTCACTCAATCAAAGGCAGCTACATTTATGACTATTATAGAGCAAGATTATTTTAAGGAAGTGAAATGTAGTGCTTTCAACCATGGGACATATTTGCAACTATCACACCTTTCCTTATAGTATTCATGAGAGAAAGTTTTTTTAATTTCCAAAAACAAACAACAATAAAAATACATGAGATCTTGCAAGTAGAAAATATACTTGAAGTTGAAATGTCTTCAACCAGACAACGAACAAGTTGGACTGCTCATGAGTACTTTAAAGACATCATCAGGATGAATCTCACACCTGATTAACAGCTCATGATGAACTTATTTGTTTTCTATAGTCTGTTGAAGACAGTTTGCCACTACACTGCTGAATCTCAATCCTTTGTGAACAGTACTAATGCTATTACTCAGGAAAGTTACTTTTTTATCTCATTAAAGGAAAAATTAATATTTTTTTTACAATTTGGACCTCTGTTTACTTCTTATTCAAGATGATCAAGGCATGGATCCATTCCAGTAATAATTCACAATTATCAGAAGCTCCAATACTGACCTTAGAAGTATTACAATTGGATGTATAAATGATAGTCCTCTGAATCTGTTCCTGTTACTATATTAAAAACTACATGTGTTAATCTTTTAAACTGTTGTCATTCCCCATCATATTCATCTACAACCTCAGTACAGCACAAAATTATATATTCCACCCAGGGGTGGGATTCAACTAGCCTTACTACCGGTTTGGTGATTATGTTTTGCGCATGTACATTAACCTTAGGCTGTGCCTCTGAGAGAGCTGAAAAGCACTGCGCGCAGGTGCACAGCATTTAAAAAGCCTCTTTTCCCCTGCTTTTTCAACTTCAGCTGTGCCACACAAAGCAGTAAGGTTGAAAAAGCAGGAAATAAAGGACAGGTAAGAGCCCAGGCAGGCAGGTGGGCCAAATAGCAGCAAACACAGAACCGGTTCTGTGTCTGCTGCTCTTCAGAGCTACCGGTTCTATAGAGCCAAGCAGAACCGGTAGCATCCCACCCGTGATTCCACCTAGATGCAAGTACCATATTGCAACATTCTATAAGGTTTTTAAATTATATATTAAATACGCTATCTCAGAAATATGCCTGAAGTTTGACATTTCACCATATTTATCTAATCACATATATAATTATTAATGCATGAAATTCTAAAGCTTCTTCCATTATTCCTTATACCATATTACATATTCCAACAAATACTTATAGCTCTAATGTTCTCATTTAGAAACATTAAGCACATGCTTAAGCCTATAGTTGCATCCATGTTTAATGATACTAAGACCTATTTTAAATTACTGGGACTCACTTTTGAATGAGTATGGTCACTTTCACTGACTTCAATGTATTGCCATACAACACTTACTTTTGGCTAGATGGTGCACCATGTTGCATCTTCTATTGGATTCATTCTTTATTAGACTGATTTTTTGATTTAGGAATATTTTTAAAATGTTAATTTTCCTGACAATGAATCCTATTTTTACACTTCAGAAAAATCAGAAGGCCAAAACATTCTAAAATGTATCTTCCTAATCTTTGTAACTTTCCAAAAATGAGCCACAGAGAATGCAGTCATATTACAGCAAGTCAATTAGAAAATGCCAGCGGATGGGTGGAGAAGGTATCATGCTTCAATCCTATTCAACAAGTTTCCACGCTAGCCAAGCACAATTCTTGCTAACACAGCACAACCAGTTTTGTTTAGCAGCTGTTACTTTCTGCTACCAGCTGCTGTCATGTTAGACTTCGTCATATTCGCCTATTTTAAATACTCTCCATTCTGCCTAGTTAGGGTACAGAGATTAGTAAATCCAATAAAATGTATGTTGAAATCATAGCAGTCCTAGAACTCTTTACAAGAATCTGTTTTATCCCATGTTTTAGTATGCAAAATATAACCAGCAATATTTCCCATATAACTTTGTTTTCAGATTGGATTGCATAAGAATTCCATACAGTAATAAAAGAAGTGGGAAGTATCATATACGTCAAGGAAAATGATAAATCTCCCTTCTTCAGCTTACATATTTTTAGTTCAAAAAATTAAAAATGGAGGGAACATACATATTTATGTTAAATGTTCATTCCATTACAATATATTTTAAAGCAAAAGAGCAAGAGAACATTGTTAACATTATTTTGTTAAGAATGGGATGTGCCAATATAGAAGATGGTCTCAAACCATTTTGATCTTAATCCACACATCAAATGCATCCCATAAAACACTGAAGATTAGTTTTTTCCTCTCACTGGTGCGTAGAATTAGAATAATAGAGACCACTGAGAACGCAAAGCACTATAACTGCTCAAAAAAATATCTCCATACATAACTCGATTTAGTTTCCTACACAAAGATGCTTCATCTCTTTTCTGTCGTTTGTGAGATATATTAAGCAGATGAAGAGACAATTTTATTTTAGAAACGATGTTACATCGTTTAGTCAGACTCAACCAGATAGAGATTAAAAGGAGTAACAGGAAGCGAGAAAGGAAAAGGTAAGGAAAAAAGATAACCAGTTTTAAATTTAAATAACTTACAGAGCATGTCGCGAACCACTTTGCCATCCAAGACCGATTTTACTGTGAAATAACCTCCTTTTCCCGCCCTCTCCTAATTATGTCAAGGAGAGAATCCACTTGCCATTTACTCTTTACTGCAACCTTTCCGGAGTCTGAATGGAGACTTTTCCAAAGTGAGTGAAGAAACCACGAATCCTACTTTGGAAACGTTACCATCTTAAAATAAAACAACCAAAGGCAACCCACCCCCCCGCGCCCCATATCCTTTGCCCAGCACCACCATCGCCATCGGCTGGCTCACTTTACCTGTTGCGAAAACCCAAGGCAAAAACAAAAAGGTCTCCTTTAGCTGCAAAATCCCAACAGCAGCCCCGAGAGCGCTTCAGACGAAACCATTTCACGGGTTATTCCTTCGGGAAGGGGGAAGGGAGAAAGGAAGGTCCTGTCTAAAGCGAGCCGCCTCTCGGCTCTCCTCTCGGGCACTCAGAGTGCGAACGTGCCTCACTTCCTGCCTCTCAACAACAACATCAACACCCCCAAATTGAGTCTGGATATCATTCCACTCGGCGAAAAGTTAGGGAGAAGGTGGGAGAACCAACGCGGGCCGTCCCCTTCGACAGCCAATTCTCTTGACAGAGGAAGGCTGCGGGAGCACAAGGAGAGCTTTTCTCCGAGCGCTCAGTTTCCCCCCCCGCCCCCCCCCCCCCGCCCATTCCTTCCTCGTTCCCCTTTTGGAGGCGTTCCCATTGGCTCCAGCCATGCGGAAGGATACGGTGTGGTCATTAGAGTACAGCCCTCTGTGTTTGAAGCCCCATTACCTCAGAGGCCTGGAATGCTCGGCAGGGGGAATGTCAGCAATGGGACAGCTGCTGCCGCTGCCCTCGCTGGAAGGAGCGGAGGCGGAGGCGGGGAGCTGGCAAGGCACGAACGGGAGATGCCGGAGGCACACGTCCGTCCCTAACTTGCCATTCCTCTTCGTCGCCTTCGCCCGCTGCAGCAAGAAACAAAGACTTTTTTTTTTTTTGCCCGACAAAACTCGTGCCCCGTGAATTGTCTCAGTTTTTACCCGGCCGTCTATATCCCTCTATCGTCGAGCGGCGTTGCGCGAGTAAAAAACAACGATGAATAACAAAGTACAGGCGTGATTGGCACCTCGTAATGTGTGGTTCTTTGCTAGCTTCTATTCAGGCAACTGAGAAGTTTCATTGGCAAATTTACACTCTGATCGTCTCCTGAATTACATCTGAAGAAAACTTCAGCCGAGGCAGTTATTCCTGGCTCTTCTGTTTCTCATTTCTTCTGTGAGCGTTTATAGGGTGGTGTTACTGATTTAAAGAAGCACATCAGCCAGCCAGGCCTGATCAGGACCCATCTGATTTCCAAAAAGGATGATGTTCCAGAGGGCAGGTGCCATGACAGAATAGATTCTGCTGAACCCCCCTAGTAGTTGATACATGTTTGCCTATGGGATTTGGAGTATGCCCTTCCTGCTTGACTAGAAAGGATGGGTAGAAACAAAATACAAAGTGCCAGTCAGTCCCTGATGCCCCCTCAGTGTCTTTATTTCATGCTATGTGCTTTTCCTAATGCTTTGTGAAGATGTGCATAGGAGAATAATGGGTCTCCTTATCATTTTAGACCAGCTTTGGCGAACTAGATGCTCTAAAGCCCTTGCAAGCAGGAGCTGGAGACCTATCCCTTATCCACCATTGTTCCCTTGAAAACTGGTATTTGGAAGCATGCTGCTCCTAATGGAGACCTATTGTTCAATTCCCTTTTAAAGCCATGCGACTTACCAGCCATCACTATATTTTGTGGCAATAAATTCAAGTTAAGAATTCATTACATGAATTACATGAGAAACTGTTTTAATTATTCTGTATCACCTTCCAAGCAGCTTCACTGAGTGGCCCTTGATCATAGCCTTTCAAGAAAAGGGAAAACTTTTTTTTGTGGACATCCACTGTCATGCTGATTTTCCAAAGCCATCTAGCTGTGTCAGTCTACACATGAGATGATGCTGACAACAGTATGTTGGCTTGAAAAACACTCTAAACTAGAGATTCTAGCTTAAAGAGAACAAGGTCAGCATGTATGAGGGAGCAATAGACCTGGTTGTTCTTGTAATATACTCAAGATATAGCCAAACCAATTGGCACTATTCTAATGATTATCAGGGTACACCAGAACTATAAAAAGTATTCTGGATGTGACATACCATTAATTGATACAAGGACATTGCAAAAATTGGTAGTTCTATTTTCAATCTTTTTTGTGATCCCTGGCATAGAAATTGCCATTTTTATACAGCTGCTGTACTCTGGGTACACATCTTCGGGGAATTCTCTTAGAAGCCATTCTGCTCTCAAGGGAAAGGGGCAAAAGTACCAAGGTGACTGCAGGGAGAGGGGCTAGCTGGAAGTCAAGAGCCAAGAAAAGGAAGGAGGCAAGTTTTCATCAATAGGAACATTTTGATTATCTGCTTTCAAATCAGTCTTGGCTCTTAGTAATCACATAGATTTCCTCCATTATGATCTGTCCCTGACTGGGTTTTCCAGTAGTGCATCCATCACTACTGTAACTCAGTCTATCCGCTTTACTGCTGGTGATTCTCTTCTCTTTCCTGTCACTTTTCCCAGTGTTAGAATTTTCTCCAGAGAACTAGGTCTTTGTATAATGTATCTGAAATATGATAATTTCAGGTATGTTATTTGTGCCTTGATGAAGAACTCTGGATTGTTTTGTTCAATGATCCATTTGTTGGTTTTCTTGGCTGTCCCTGGTATTCTCAAAAAGTTTGCTCTTACCCAAGTTTGCTCTCTACTGCAACTTGACCATAGACATATCTGTCCAACACATTCAACTGTGAATACCAATGTAAACATCATCATTAATTTACAAAATAGTCAATCCTTCTTTGGTTATATTTTCAGTCTGTGTTACCTAACAATCCAATCATTTCTCTGGCTGTTTCACTGTTTCTATTAATCTAAGATTTTTGAAATATAAAAATGTGGTTTTTTTCTCTCTCAGGCCCTCATCCTGGTGAACACTTAATTCTTACAGTGCTATCTAATGTTTGTGCGTATATACCCAAGTAGTATGGTTGTAGCATTATTATTTACCCCTATCCTTTTTACTCCCCTCTCTTATTGATATGATGATGATCATTATTCTGTTGCTTTGCATGTACATTTAAACCTTCTGCATCAAATTCCTTGTGTGTCTAGTCCCACTTGGCCAAATAAAGTATTAAGTTCAATAATGCCTCAATGCCAATTTATACTTATTTGCTAGTATTTGTGCTACTTGTTGTTCTTCTTGCTTAGGTAAGCTTTCCACATGTTATAATAAATATTTTTATCTTTTACAGTTTTTCTTGACTCTCTATCTCATTAAAATAGCTAATACCATTGTTAATCTGTGGTACATGCTCTAGCCAACTTTTCTTTTTATGGTTTTAAATAATCTCCCAGCATTTTAAAATGATTTAAACCCCAATGTTTCTTTTAGGGGCTACAATAGCATATTTATATTCTATTATATACTATTAAGATAGATATTATTTCTCATATTAAATATGAAAAACATTTACTGTGATCTGATTTCAACCTATTTTTCCTTCCATCACTATAAAATTAAACTCTAGAGATTGGAGAAACCAGCAAAGGGGGCAAGAGTCTGACTAAAAATGATCATGCACACTGAATTTGTGTATTGTGTTTACTAAAGACTAAGTCCAATTAGAGCCAATTTGGTGTAGTGGTTATGGTCTCTTGATTTCTAGCCCAGCATCTTTAACCGCTACACCAACTGCTCTAACTGTACTTAGTTCAATTAGACCCATACATAAAGCTATTTCTGCCATAAGCCCATAGCCAGGTGATTGGGTTGGGCCAGTTACAATCTTCCTTGGCCCTGGAAAGGAGGCAATGGCAAACTACTTCCAAAAATCTTGCCAAAAAACCTGCAGAGACTTGCCTAGGCAGTCACTGGGGATTTGAAGAGACAAAAAGAAAAAGAAGTCAATTAAATTCAATAAGATTTACCTCCCAAAATGCTGGGAAATAGGCAAATGGCTAAATAAGTGACAGAATCTTATATTAACTGTATGAACCAGAACAAAGAATTGATTAAAACAGATCTCTGTTCAGTTTCTAAAGCTCTGGTTTCATCTCCTTGTCCTTTTCCATCTGGAACAGGAAAGACCTCAAATTTCTTCTTCCTGGCAATGCTGAATTAATTCAGCATTGTTGGAGTCAAGCTGCTATCACAAGAGTGAATCGGGTCAATAATTCATAAAGGAGCCTTACTCTTTGTTTTTCTCTAAGTTAATTTCTGGTGGGAGCGCTGGCCACTTGTGGCCAATTGAAAGCAAGAAACTGAGGAATGAAAAAAAAGGTTAAGTCCTTCCTTTATTTTTATTCTTCATACCAGAGGTGGTATTCAGCAGATTCTGACCAGTTCTGGAGAACCGGTAGCGGAAATTTTGAGTAATTTGGAGAACTAGCAAATACCACCTCTGACTGGAGATTTTACAGTATCCTTCCCATGCCATGCCCACCAAGCCACGCCCACAGAACCGGTAGTAAAAATGTTTGAATCCCACCTTTGCTTCATACATTCCATTCACCTTCTAGAAGCATTTTTTTCTTTGCTCAAACAGGTTGACAAAATAGAAATTTATCTATAGTATTTACTTTGGTTTTCAGTTATTTGTGCTATGTGAATAGTGAGACATATCATGGGCCATTATGCAAACACAGTAACTTGGACCCAGAGTTACAAAATGTTTGTGAAATTTAAGTTTTCTGTCCTTCCTCCTCAATGTAATCCCATATATACCAAAAGTCATTTTGTGGAAATCCAAGAGCCACTATAAAATCTAGAATATAATCTAAGATGTTTGCATTTTACGGCCTATGGGCCACATACGACCCTTTGGCTCTTCTTGTCCAGCTTCCCACTGCTGATGGCTTCTACAATAGTCATAGTTTCCCATGTGGCCCCCTGGGAAAATTAATTGCCCATCCCTGATATAGTCTATTAAATAAATGAGGGGAAGGGGCCATATAGTTGGGAATTGAGAAAAACTTCGGCAATTTCTTCAATCATCAATTTTATCAATCAAGAAAGTACAAAACCTATGTTGCATTTATGCAATTCTATGAAGCCTAAAGTAAATAAGAGTGCCCTTTGTAGGATCAGTGAACCCAGAAAATTATGTAGTGAAATATAATAATTGAAAATTAATATGAAAAAAATCAAATATAAACTGGAAGTGGCAGACATCGGTTTCACTCATCAAAGAGAAGACTATGTACATTTGCAGTTATTACCTTAGAAAGTTGGAACGTTTAGCAGCGAGAATGTCAGCAATGGAACAGCTGCTGCTTTGGCTAAAAGGCCATTGCAGAAATATAGATGGGGTTTACAATAAATAGCAGCTGATCAGTTTTTTTTTATTATGCTAAGCTTTTCTAATTAAAGTCAGACTTTCCAAATGCATTGGTTTTATTTTTATAGTTCTCAGAAATGTTTTAATCTTCTCCTTAAATTAGGTTTACTGTCAATATACTGCAGATGGACCAGTGGGTGCATTTTAAAATGTCCGTAATCTGAAACAAAAATAATTGTAATTTGTCAGCTAATAACAGTGTAAAGCTATCTAGCTGCCCTCTTGCAGATACTTGCAGAGAAATATGAAGGAAAAACACAAATGTAGTCACATTAGGAAAAAAAGGCTTTTTATATCAATAATACATGCAAAGTATGAAAACTTCTTGAAAGTACTGACTGGGACACTTCTAGAAGTCAACATTTCTTTATGATCTGTATCATTGTTACAAGATTACAAGATTATTATACTCAGAATCAGTGGTGGAGTTCAAATTTTTTTACTATTGGTTCTGTGGGTGTGGCTTGGTGGGCGTGGCAGGGGAAGGATTTGCCGGTTCTCCGAACTATTCAAAATTTCCACTACTGGTTCTCCAGAACTGGTCAGAACCTGCTGAATACCACCTCTGCTCAGAATGGATTTTTTGCTTTTTTTTGTATTGTTCTTTCCTTAGAATAGTTCTAAGTATGTCAGTGCTTTTAAGTCTTTGAAAATATCTTTTAGTTTAAATTTCAACCCATTGTTTGCATAACTAAGAATCTGAGTAGTATAATCATTCTTGGTAAAAAGTCAGAATTATTACTCCACTACATAAATCTTCTATATGACTTTTCAGTGATAATTTCCCATTTGACCTTAATAGGCATAACAGAAAACAATGTCTTTATAGACTGGCTTTGTTTTGATTCCCCCCCCCCCCCCCCCCCATCAAATGTACTAGTTGTCCGGTCTCTTCATCACCACTGCATCCTTTTCAGTGAGATAACCTAAGGAAGCACTCAAAAAGAAATACCGTCTTAGATCACAATAAGATTAATCAAAAAAGGAAATTATTTATAACTGTTGTCCATTCAACATAGATAGCGGAGGTACAAACAACATTTAACACAGCCCTATTGTAAGAAAACCTGTGTTGTCACCAGAACGACAAGTTCATAAATACATTCATAGAGCATCCTTTCAAAGTTATAACGGCACTGAAAAAAGTGACTTACAACCATGGAACATCCTTGCAGTCATATCATTTAAATTTGGGCATTTGGCAACTGGCATGTATTTGTTAAGGTCAAGTGAACACCATTTGCGACATTTCCTGTTGGCTTCTGATAAGCAAAGTCAATGGGATGTTGGAAGAGTTATCCTTCTGGGTTCAGTTCCAAGTGGGGAAAAAGACACTGGAAACATGGAGGCTGTTTGGAAAGATGGCTTAATGGTGGACAAGACCACATGGCTTGGAGCTCCAAAGAAGGATGATCACATGTTTCAAGGTGAAGGAAAACGGAAGGGCTGAGATGCTGAGAGTGCCTGGTTTTATACCCTTTGTTGAGATTTGAATTTGAGCTTATATTCTGATTGGTTGTCAGACTCCCATGGGGCCATGCAGGGGCAACTCTGTAGGCTGTCCTGAGTTCCAGGCTTGGTTGAGCCTTGCTGGATGATGATGTAATGAAAAGGACAATTGCTATAGCTTTATCTGGAGAACTTTGTAATGTAAAATATTCTGGCCCAGGCCTTAATGGCCCACCCATTAACAAAGGTGGGGGTGAACCTCTGCTTCTGAGGTGAGTTTCTGCTTCTAAGTTTCTACTCTTTTTAGGGGGAATATTCTGCCTTTTTAATATTTCCTAGGATATTTCAATTTTCTAGAGAGGGGGGGTGCGAACAGGGGAAAGCTGAATTTACTTAATGACAAATTATTCACTTAAGAACTGCAGTGATTCACTTAACAATCATGGCAAAAAGGAAAATTTCCGGTTTGAGCTTCTTCAGCAACAGACCGAAACCTCGTCTTTGCAAGGCTTCGATCTGTGCTCACCGCTGGAGCGCCCCGAGCCGGCTGGTTTCGGGGCTAAGCCACCCCGTAGAGGTGGTGAAGAGGGGGGAGACTGCCTGCAGGGTTGAGGAGAGCCGCATCTCTCCTTCCCAGCTGGCCATTACTCCCTTTCCCGAAGGCGGTTGCAGCGGTGGTCAGAAATGGCCACCACAAAGAAGAACTCAACAGGAAAAGAATGTGCAGGAGGAAGATAAGAGAAAGTTTTGGTTGACCGGGTCAAACAGCAAAAGCAACAAATAAGGTACCCTGGAATTGAAACTGTTAAAAAACAATAACATTGTTCCCTAAGAAGATTTTTAAGCTGCGAAGGAGAGAAAAAAGGGAAAAGATTTGGTTTTCTCCCTTTCCTATACTGACAGCTAAGAGACAAGCAAGAAATTGGAAAAAATCCACTTTGACATCAATAGGCATTTAATGCTGAAAATAAAAAGTCAAAGGGATAATAAAGATTTCTGGATAATTAAAAGCTTTTGAAAACAGGAAAGGAGAGAAAAAGAATAAAAGGGCAGGATCTGGAAGGGAGGAGACTGCCTGGAATTAAAAAAGAACTTACAGCAAAATCTCAACAAGACTTCCAAAAGATACATTCTAACTGAAATATTGCAACAAAAACCACAGGAAGAGAAAGTCGAAAAAGAAATAAGAAAATATAACTCGGGACTATCTGGATTACTTGATGATTTCTGGATTCTTGGTTATTGTTTTGAATGACTAAAATCAATCGGGTGGTTGTTTACAACTGTTTAAAATGGCTCCACTTTTAGAAGAACTGAAAATGGAACTTAAAAAGTACAAAGAAGATGCACAAGAAGGGAGAAGTTCTTTTAGCTTCGTATTTCAGTTTTTAGAAATGGAGATTTGGAATTATGAGAAACAACAAGAAATGCCTGCAGAACAAGAAGATTGCGACAAAGAAGAAGCCATCTTTAATGAACAAGTAATCTTAGATGGGGGGAAAAGGAAAGGGGGGAAAGAGAATGGAAAGTTTAAGATTGGGAAAAACAACTAAAAAAAATAGAGTGAAAAATAAGTATAAAATCAGAAAGCAACAGAAGAGGGAAATGCAGAAGAGAGAATTAGAACTAGAGAGACAAGGGGGTAAAAAGGGGAGGGAGAAGATGAGAGGGAAGAAAGGAAAAGAAGTTATAAAGGACAGAAGCAAAATATAGAGAAACAGGGCCTATTTAGAGATAATGGGTGAAAACTTAATGGAAAAAGGGATTCTGCAAAGGTACATAAGATAGTATGGTTATATTAGAAACAGAAATAATTTTAGAAAATATGAAACAATGTATGATTAAAATGTCTCATAAAATAGCTATCATAATTCAGTGGAATGCTTGTCAATAAATAAATGTAACAAAATGAATATAAGACATATGTGAAGAGAAATAAGGGAAAAATTAATTATGGAGATTATATGTGTTTTTAAGGAAGTATGATATTTAATTAAAAAGTGTTAAAGATGTTAAGATTTTAATGATTATTAATGATAGAACTGAACTGGAACGGAATGAGGGTTTATAATTACATATATTTACAACCTTTCTTTCTTTCTTTTTTTAAAGAATATAGTGTGTATTATAAGAATGTACCAAGCAGAATTCAATTGGAAGTTATGTATTATGTATTATATTGAAGGTCATAAACTTAAGGTATATATTGAAGTTTAAATAAGAGTTGAATGGATGTAATTAAAAGATATAAAGGTGTCATACTCTAATTAGTAACTACAGGAGAAAGTTTGTTTAATGAGAAAGGATAATATGAAATTGAAACAGAACAGACAAAAGTATAAATATAATGATTTGAATTGAGATGAGATAATCAAAATAAAATTGAGAAAATTAAAAGACGGGAAAAACTATATAGAAAATTTAAAATAGTATAAGATATGGAATAGAACACAAAAAGGAGCATGAAATTGAGTTTTGTGTCTGTATAAAGAAGTTCAACCTGGGACCATGCTATTTTCAAAAAAGATGTTTTACTTGTATTTTGTATGTGTGAAAACCCAAATAAAACTTTATTAAAAAAAAACAATTGTGGCAAAAAGATTGTAAACTTGGATGTGTTTAACAACCACCTTGCTGGTCCCAATTGTGATCTTAAGTCAAGGATTAATACATTTTTTAATACTCCATACTGAATGGTTAGGATTTTTGAGTTGCCACGGGGACTTTTTGCTTATTTTAAAATTAGCATCAAATATACTGAAAGCACAATAAAAGTGTATAAATATCAAGTGAAAAAGACACACCACACCCTCAAACTGAGTTAAAAGTTTCTTTCAAGCGCTCCTACAGAACATTACGGAATGGCATGTACAATAAATGTAAGAAGGAAATATAGTTCTCAAACCTGGACAAATTGCGTGTTATTAAAAATGTTATTTACAATGCCTCTCAATGTAAAATATTCGACTCTCCACTTTTTCTTTGGCAAATGGGCTTCGATCTACCTTCCCTGACGCACCCTTTGTGGCGAATGTTGCCATAACAACCCACTCAAGGTGAATAGCTGCTTGGCCGACAATTGTGCTTTTAATTGGACAGGTTGCACAACCAACTCACAAGCCGGCTGCCTCCCCAGAGAAAAGCATCAGCTCAGAGAAGCTTCTTGTGGAGGGCGCACTAGTACCAGCTCCGCCGCCGGCTTCTTCCTCAAAGTGGACGCTCCGCTTCGGCTAAGAGTCCAGTGAGGCCCGCAAGGAGGAGCTTTGTTTCCTCAACTACCGCCAACTACCGCCTCATTACCAAAAGGAGGCGCTGTCGGCGGAGGCCTGTTTGGGTTTTGTCCCGACTCTTTTTCTGCCTCTCGTTCTCTCTCTCTCTCTCTCTCTCTCTCTCCCTCTGTGTCTTCCAGCCTGTAGCTGGATTGGGGTTGGGCCTAGCTGGTTTCGGGAAGAGTGGGGACTGGAAGGCTTTGGTCGTGTCGGTGGCCATGGAAATCGGCACCGAGATCAGCCGGAAGATTCGGGTGAGAGACACGAACCTCGGTGGGGTGGCAGATGGTGATAAGGACTGCAGGGTACCCTCCCCCCCCACAAGGGGGAAGGCGGGCAAAGAAAATGTGGAGCGGGGTAAAGCGCTTACCCCTCCCCCCACATTTCTTTTTCCGCGTGGGCCCTTTTTCCGACTCGTTCCCTTCCCCCCTCCCCTTCATTCTCCCCGCAACCAATGGCAGGGTCGAAAGTTGGTTTGTCCGAAACGGTTGCCGCGCGTGGGCTTCTTCTCGGGGGTTGCCTCCGAGGCTTAACCCAAAGGTACTTTTTCAAGAGGCATTTGGACCAGAAACTCCAGTTGCCTCTTGAAAAAGCACCTTTGGGATAACATGACCTGGATGACTGAGAATCTCCCATAGACATTCTCCGAGGTTTAAGCGTCACCTCGTCGCTTCATCCCTAGAAATTGATGGGCGCCACAAACTGAGTGCTGCTTGCTACAAGATCGATTAAAATACAGTTTTGTACACAAAAATAAAAATAGGAGGAACCTGCAGGTATCTTAAAGCTGTAATTATCGATTCCTGTTGATGCACGTTCACCGATTTTAATTCTATAATCTCCCCTCCCTTTTTATCTCGTCAATGTCTTTCTTAATAAACATATCTATTCTGCTTCCCTGCCCAAATCCCTGGGTACTCCTATGAATAACTTTGGGCCAGTCACTCTTTCTTAGTTTAACACACCTCATAGAGTGGTTGTGAGGAGGAAGCACTGTGTATCATGTCATTCTCCTGAATGAAAAATGGTGTATAATTTAATAAATCAATGTGCATCTGTCTAAAGAGACAACATTTTTGACTTGTCAGTTCACTCAAAGTGAAGGAACTAAAGTAAGTAACAAGCAGCACAGTCTTCAAGTCTATTGGCTCGAAAGTTTTGATCCAAACTGTCTGCCTTCAAATTGGGGGAGAAAAAACCTGCAGAAGAGGTGCTCCAGATAATGACAGGTATGAAACAACTGCACTAGAAAGAAAGAAAAAAAATATTTGGGATCATTTAAAGAAATAGTTTTAAAGATAAGATATACTAGACTTTTTTGAGCAAAAGGCATAACAGATTTTCAAGCAATATCATCACATTTCTGGAATTATTCTGGTTATAAAACTTTTCAGGACACTGCTTCCTTTTTATTGATATGCTTAGTCAATTTGTGGTTGTATGGATCCTGTCCAGGTTATTTTTATGTATTATATTTTTTATTGTTTTTCATAGTATTTACTAAAAAGAAGAGATACACAGAATTATTTATGGTGCAAGGAGAGTAATCAAGGACAGTTTTTCTCATTGATATTAGCCTACAATATCATTAGCAGCCTTGAATAATGAACAGTTCTTTAGTAAATATGAAAAACAATGTATGAAAGTAATGCTTCACTTAGCATGTAATGGAAAATAAAAAGATAATCACCACAAGAAACAGTGTTATCTATCTATAGAGAGTTTTGAAAGAGAACACTATGGTCATTGGCTGGGGAGCACAAGCAGGTGAGTATTGTCTGGCTGGCTTTTTCAAGGCATATGATTGGCAATTTATTGTGGGAACAGAATATTTGATCAGATTGACTTGCATTAATTTGGAATGTTCTTATATTATTCCAGCAAAACTCTTATTTGGTGTACAAATGAAGCCCATTTCACAAATTCTTTCAAATATAAAGGCCCAAGGGATTGGGGTGCATATATTTGTTCTTTCCAGTGCACAAACTTTGCCTTTTTACTTTTAAACTTCCATGGATTATGCAAGGAAGTCTGAAAAGGTGCTGTACTCATATTTACTTGAATGTGTATCTAGTTCTTCATTCTATTGTATACTGAGAGGGCTGTGTGTCAAGCAAATGAAAGTGTAGATCTTTAGTTCTTGTGCTTGACAGGAAGTTAGAAAATGAAAAAGGAGGGAGGTATTGGTCACTGCACAATCAACTGCTCACGTGCTTGTGATTCTCAGTACTTGTAAAGGTTTGTGAATAGGCTTAAATGTTTATAGGACTATAATTCCAGATAAATGAGCAAATTATAAGTTTTTAAATTTATTTTGTTTTTTTTTAAATTTTGGATCAAAATACAATCATTTATAAAAAAAATTGAATGGATAACCAATGTCTATAAAAGTAAATGTATAAATTCTCTTTATTTAAAAATATTTTGTAAATTGGAAATCCATACATATTAGTACTGATTTGGAAAATACTTCTGTTGATATAAATGTAGCTATGTAGAAAAATAGTGAAGGGATATATTTCTAGTCAAATAAAGCTTTTGATTTTGTCACATTCCAGAATTATATCATCATGCTGTTGTGATAAGAAAAGCTCTATTTCATTTTCTCTAATTACCTAGCATAATTTTTTCTTCTATGCAATTCCTAAAGGTACAAAAATCCTCTTGGCATGGTTACTATAGTAACCTGGAAGCAGGGATCTTTTCATTTGCTTTATTGTTAAAGAACAAAATAGTCCATGTAGTGTAATTAAGTTTACTTGGTAAGAAATGGCAAAGGCTTTCTTTGTTTATTTTATGCTCAAAGAAATCTTGCTCCTTTTGTTCACTTGAATTCCTAGAAAGTTACAGGTAGTCCTTGAGTTAACGAATGTAATGGAGTCTGCCAAGTACATTCCTAATCTGAGTATTTGTTGGAGTGAATCACGTAAAATGAACATGAAAACTCCCTGCTTTTCACCCCACATTCACTAATTGAATGTGCAAGTGATTAAATGCATATGAGGTATCTCACTCAAGGTGGAGAAGGCCAGGGGGGGGGCTAGTAATGGAACAGACCACCTGCTTAAGACCACCCAAGACTTCCCCTGACCCACTGAGATACCTCATGCTCCCCACAATTGCTCCCCCCCCAATCCTGCTGCTCTGGGTCACTTACCTTGCGAAGATTTAGCGAGCTGTCTCCTCTCCAGCCTCTCTGCCATGCAAGATCATAGCCCCCAGAAACTTCCAGTTTCTGCCCAAAATGTTTGCAAGCTGTTGGGATGCTTTGAGGCACTGAAATCACACTCATCTGCTTTTTCAGAGAGTGGTGGCCTGAAGTTGCACGAGATCATGGCCCTCAGAACATTTCACTCTCAGCACACAAAACATTTCCAAGGATACAGGTAGCAAAATTGTCCAGCGTGGCAGGATGGGAAGGAGGAAGCAATTGTGAGGAGCCAGGGAGGGGGAGGAAATAAGCAGGGTGAATGTTGCTGCGCCTTTGCAGTCGTTCATAAAGGTGAACGACTGCCGTGGTGCTGCAACATTCGTAATTTTAGGGCTGTATTGTAAAGACTTGGGAAATTGATTATTTTGTATCTTTGAACAGTCACTGTGAACTGTCATAACTCAAGGATTGCCTGTATTTTTTTTCTTACTATTTTTCTTTAGGTAGCTGCAGGAATGGGTATTTAATTCTGTCTCATTTGCTGAACATATTTGTTGAGTATGAACAATCAAAATCTTATCTAACAAAAACTTTTCATGGACAGTTAATTTAGGATATGTGGCTCAATCAAGAAAGTGATTAGTTTACTTGGTTCTTCAGAAATAACAATAGTCCAATTTCATCATAGTCCACAATTCCAAAAATGTGTTCTTCAGTTCAGTCATACAGATCCCTCTAGTCAGCTTATAAAACATGAAAGCTGTTTGCTTGAAATTAACTTCATATCAAATAAGTAAGTTTTAGGATTGTGCAATGCTTTGGACTTGATCTTCCAAAAGTGCTTCAGAGGATGTAGAAGCACAACCATTCTTTAGTACAGTAGCAGCGGTCCCCAACCTTTCTGGTTTGGTGACCATAACAGTTCCATCATAAAACCACATATTCCAGACTCACTTCCTCTCCTGATCCACCATCTAAGGGAAAAACTAGATTTTAACAGTCTTCCATTGTTAATATAGTGAATAGCATAGAAATCAAAACACAGGTAGTCTCATCTTACTACCATAATTGGGGCCAAAATTTCTGGTGCTAAATAAGATGTGATATAAGTGATTTGCATCCCATTTTATGATTTTTATTGTCACAGTTGTTAAACAAATCATACGGTTGTTAAGCGGACTTGGCTTCCTTCATTTATTTTGCTTATTGGAAGCCAGCTGGGAAGATTGCAAATGGTGATCACAGCACAATTGCCATAAATACATGCCTGTTGCCAAGTACCTGAATTTTGATCATGTGACTATGCAGTGATCGTAAATGTGAAAACCAGTCACATGTCACTTTTTTCAGTGCTGCTGTAATTTTAAACAGTCACTAAATGAATGATTGGAAGTCCAGGACTGTACTATACTATATTACTCTACTATAGTATCTGAAAGTGTAACCTTGGGTAATTTCTCAAGCATTTAATTTAAGTAGGTGTGTAGAATATCCTGTTTTAGGGGTGGGAAGTTTTGTCAGGAAAAATATGTAACAGTGAGATTCTTTGCATGATTTATTTATTCAATTTCTATAGCCACCCATCTCAATCTAATTGACTTGGATTACTTGAAAGAAAGCCTATTTGCAGTCACTTTTATGTAAAGTGTGCAAGGAGCACGACCCACTTCTCATTTTTAAATCATGTAATCCTATGCTGGAGTTGTGTTTTGAGAACACTTAAATATGAAAGGGACGCAGTGCTCAGTGAATATATAATTAAATGGAGGTTTTATTTCTCCTTGAAATATACCCTAAATATGTGGATTATATAGGTTATATGTTTTTAGTATTGCAAATTTTTATCTACATAAAGCAAATTCTGGATTGTCTTCTACATGACAAAAGAGCCTAGGCAAGACCTACAGAATGGGTAACAATAATAATGCATTTGTCTGCATATTTACTTGCTGGTTAATCCCATTGGACAAAGACCTCTGTATAAATATTCAGAATTTCTAGAAGGGTACATAATATTGCCCTTAGCAACTTTGATTTTAGTAGTTGCTTTTGGCTGTGTTTGAAGACAAGAGGAAATAACTATGGGTTAGCACCTTTTCTATTTACCACTACCACCACCTCAGTTGGGGCTTCAGTGATGGATGGTGCACAGAAAATAAATCAAAAGCAAATATATGTGCTCCATCTTAGTTTAAACTGTGGTCTGAGTTTGAAAACATAAGGTCTCAATACAGGAATAAGCCCCTGCTTATTCCCCTGGGTTGAAAATCATAACTCAATTTTCTAACCTGCTGATAGGCCACAGAAGCTTTCTGAAGGTGTGATGATATCACTTGAAGGGGTAGAGCTGGAAAGTTTTATGTGTGCTCAATTTTAGTTTTAGGGATGGATCTGAGAATCTTCTGCCTTGTAAGAAGCCTTTTATTTCTATTACCATTTTCTCCCCACAGAAATTCAGCAGGGTGAACTCAACATATTTCAAGGGTTGCAAATGCAATTCTAGGGAGGGGTGGTTGGGGATGCCTGCATACCATGATCCACTGTGGATAAGTTTTGCACAGGTTCTATATGTTGTATATAGAGTTGTTAGGCACAAAATTAAGGCAGAATTATAAGTGTGTGTGTGTGTGTGTGTGTGTGTTATGTATTTCAAAATGAACAATTCTACACTGCAGAATCTGTGAGACATATTGAGCAATCCAAGGATGAGATCTACATTTGCATTTAGTCATCTGAGTTCTATCTAGGATATTATTTATTATATTCCTTGCTAATAATATATAATCATTAATCAAGGAGGCGCTCACTTGGCTGGGGGAGCTCTTCAAATCTCAGAAGTTTTGTAGTCGGTATTAGTCTGTTTACTCTGGGACTTGGCCATCAGCTGCTTATATCACAAGCTTTATCTCATTTGCAGAACTTTTAATTTATAGATAATAAGTGATTATATTATCTCCTTTGGCAGCTGAGAATTCTGTTTTTAATTTTTCCTTCTTGACCCATTTCTATGTATTTCTTATAGTTCATATTTTAAAGCTTGATTTATTAAAGCTTAATTATCATGCCATTTGACTATTTTATAACTGGTTTTAATTGACACATCTCCCTAAATTTTTCCTAACCTTAAGAATACTCAGCTGATATATACTATATTTCCAAAATGTTGTATCAGTTTATAAAATAATCTGATTATCATATGCAATTTAGCACTGTCAACATAGGACAACATTAAACCTTTCTCTGCTTTTATAATTTATTATAGTTTAGGTTAGATTATTATAGGAGCTTAATTTATGCATCGTGTTAAGCCAAATCCTAGCAGACTGCATTATATCGTAATATGATGTATAAACTAGGTCAGTATGTTCATTAGATCATCTTTGAGCCAAAAAGGAAAACATTTAATTTAAATGCTACAGCTTTCATGGTATATCTCCGCCTTAAACACATCATTTAAAAAACCGCCTCACATTGCATGCAGATTGAATCCTATGAATTCTTGCCCTCCCACTTGTCATCTTCTATTAGTTTTTTTTTGTGCTGAATTTTAGATGAGTTTTTCAAGTGAAGAACCTGTTCTCTAAAACTGGCATGCAGTCGGGGTTGTGCATTTTATAAAAACAAACGAGAAGAAGTGCTTTAAACTTCACATGAGCATAGTGTATGGGTTGCTGTTCATTAAAGCAACTTGCTCTTTTCAGGCTTCAGTGCAAGTGTGGAAAAAATGAGACTGATTTAAGGAGTTTATTCATTAAAGTTAATCCAACTCTAAAACAATTGCTACTTTTCTTTCAGGCTTGCACTGAAGTCCAAAGAAAACTTGGTATACTTTAATCAATAACAAAAAAAAATGCAAGGCCTAGACTAGAGCACTTCTGAAAAAAATTTGGAACATGTACAGCCTATCACATGTATTGATATAATGCTTTATAAAGTTTTTAAAAATGTTTGGCTATTCATAGGATCTCTTGAAAAAAAAATTAACATTTTGCTTTTTAGATGTTTGAAACAATTTCAGAATATTGATGGTTTGAAAGTAAGATCTTTTTTCTCTCCCTTTTGTCCTGTACATATAGAGTGCTATAAAGGGAAAGCTACAGGAACTAGGAGCTTACGTTGGTAAGTTTGATAATAATTTTAGCTGTAAAAATAGAAAATATACAAAATATTATATTGCTATGCAGGCTGTTTAGATTTGTATTTTCCTCTTGCATAAATCTGTTTTCTAGGGCAGCTAGAAAATAATTATAAAAATAGAAAATTTAAAAAAAACATGTAAACTACATTAGCAGCATTCTTTTCAAAAAAAGAGGCACTGAGACGCTAACATTAGCAGTTTTAAAAAGCTAGGAAAACAAAAAATAGAAAGCATTCCAAAGTTGCAAAAGCTATCATTAAAAAGGTGTGACACTTGAGAAAGGCTTCAGATAATGGTCTTGTTTGGCAGACAGATTGATCTGGAAAAAAAATGGTTCAACTGTTATTTGAAGAGCAATTTTTAAATAATAACTTTGTTAAAATTTACAATACAAAGATAAAATGCTAATACAAACTAATAAAAATATATTTTTTTAAAAAAAGTGCGGATAGGAAAAAGAAAATAAGAGAAAAGATATATAAAAGCTGTCTCCCCTCTCCCTCCAGATAAGTTTAAACAGCTTCAGTAGCTTAATAGCTTTTCTACTATTTCAATAAAAAAATTACCTCTTCTTCCCATATCTTACCAATAATCCAATTATAAAATACTTCAATTTTTAGATCTAATTAGCCGAAGTTTACTAAGAGCTGCCAAAAATTAATAACACATATGTTTTGATCTTGATCAATTAAATCAATTTTTTATTTGTACTTATTACCGTATTTGCCGGCGTATAAGACGACCCGGCGTATAAGACGACCCCCCACCACCACCAGAAACGCCCTCCAGAAATCCCCGGGGCTGCAGCGGCAGGGCGGAGTGCCAGGGGCCGTGGGAAGAGCAGGAAGGCTGCAGCCTCGGGCGGAGCGAGGCGAGCGGGATGAAGCGGAAGCGACGCAGGGGATCCGGGAAGCCAGAGGCGCCTTCGCTGCGTCCAACAAGCATCCGAAAGCCGGCAGTGGATATACCGGCGTATAAGACGACCCCCCCACTTGGAGGCATGTTTTTCGGGGCAAAAAAGTCGTCTTATACGCCGGCAAATACGGTACTTTCTTTAAGAAATAAAGCAAAAGAATTATCTTCTTCCTTTATAAACAGATCTTTAACAACTTGTCATTCAGTCCTAATCAAAAAGTAGTTCAATTAATAGCTAGTAGGAACCACATCATATACATTTTAACCCTGGTCAAATAAATTCACTTTATATTCCTAGAGTTTACTTTTATAAAGCTTGCTTTTTAATCCCATCAGTTAATTTCTTATCATTTTATCTTTGTCTGCTTTCAGGAACAGCTTCAGTAGTTTAACACATCCTTTTCATAAATCCAAAATAAAAAACCTTTCAAATCATTCTTCTGATTTATTATTTATATGTCCCCTTTAGTTAGTAAGACGTCAGCTGGTTGCAAATGTAAATCCATTGTGACATCCTTTTCCATATCACTCTTGTACGCTGGCATTTTCAAATTCATGCTCAAATTAACAGTAATTAGTCTTTGTTTTATACAGTAAAATTTGTTTTTCTTATATATCCTCTCACATCCAATTCAATTCAGTTTATTGCAGTCATAGACCAATATGAGTTGTGGTGGCTCAGTGTTTAGAATGCAGTACTGCAGGCTACTTCTGCTGATCACTGGCTGCCAACAGTTTGGCAGTTTGGGTCTCACCGGCTCAAGGTTGACTCAGCCTTCCATCCAGGACCCAGATTGTTGGGGGCAATATGCTGACTCTGTATACCTCTTAGAGAGGGCTGTAAAGAACTATGAAGCGGTATATAAGTGCTATTGCTATTGCTAATACAGATGCTAAACAAAATAAAGTTTAAGACCGAATTAAAATACATTTATAAAACAATGCAGCTAACATGTATACTTGAGATTCAGAATACAGCCTAAATTAAATTATAATGTAAATACCAAAATTATATTAAATATGATAGCATCTAAAATTACATCAAAGTAAGAGTATCTAAAGCTACTAGTATCAACCAAGTAATAATATATAAAATTTAAATGAATTATATTGAATTATATTTACAAAGAATACATTGTGGGCAGTTAGCCCATCAGCATCTGATAGATTTTTGATATTCACAAAGCCTAGCTGCCTCATATATACATACATACATACATACATACATACATATATTTTTTCAGGCAAGCTTGTAGATAATTTCTGAGAGACTGTATATTGTTCCCAGGCAGTTTTAATTTCTAGAGTTGAATAATATTGATCCATTGTATTAATGGCTCTCTTTAATTGTAATCTTTAATTCTTTCTGATTCCCTCTAGTCAACTTTCAAATTCCCCTTTTTTCCATATGTGATAAGTCTTTATTGATTAGCTCTTGGGCTATATCAAAATGCAAAGGTCCAGCAACAATTTGTTACTAAAATTTAATAAAAGCAATTCAAAATGAAATTTGATAAAATACTATTTAAAATGGAATTTGATAAAATACAGTTTAAAATGGAATCTAGACAAAATATGATTTAAGATGAAATAGTAATAAAATACAATCCAAAATAAAATTGTAATAATGTACAATAATTTAAGATATGGATAAAATATAATATATGTTATTTTCCAATCAGCAAAACTTTCCCACAGGAATATTTCTTCCAATTTATTTTACAATATTCAGATATTCTTTTACAAAATTTTGAATATCCTCATGGGCATAGGAAATATCCTTTGAAGTCCATCTAGAACCCTTCCAAAAGTCAACATTCTAATCCTCCTTTTGCTGTTTTGTAAAAGTTAAGGTTTTTTCTTTTTAAACCTTAAAACTTACATAAAACTTTTTTATCCATTAAAATACGAGATAGAAAGAAATTCACCCAATATGATGAAACCTGCCCTTCAGAAGGTTCTTAACAGCCAGAAAATTGTTAATAAGCAACTCCTAAAGTAGTTGAGAGGAAGTAGGCAAATCCAGTGTTCATTTGAAGGTTCTGGACTGTGGCTTAGGCAGAGTGATTTTACGGAGACTCTCCGAGCTGTAAAAACCACTGGAGACAGTCTGTGGGTAATCCTAGCCTTCTTGATTAGGACAGGAGTTCCAAGGAAGTGATCCATTCATCAGTTCCTCTTCTCGCTGTGGCCATCAGCTCTGCTGTTATGGAGTTGTGTTCAATCCACCATTGTTCCCTGAAAGTTGAAGACCAAGTTTTTTCTTCATGGTCTCTGTGCATCACATTCATAGAATGAAGATGGGAAAATAGTTTGATTAACCTATTGGGAGATTAAGTAGATAAAACTCTATAGCTGTTGCTTTGACATTTAATTTGTAGATTTATTTTCTATTCTTTAAATCAGATGAAGAACTGCCAGATTACATTATGGTCATGGTGGCCAATAAGAAGAGCCAGGAACAGATGACAGAGGATCTTTCCCTTTTTCTAGGAAACAACACTGTGAGATTTACTGTGTGGTATGTATCTTCCATCTGTTCCATGTACCAATATATGTGCTTATTAAAAGGCACAAAAGTAGTACAGCACTACAGCATTACAAAAAATAATCCTTAAAGATGAAAAGCCATGTGGAGAAGGGAGGAGGAAAAATTTTTCCTACTTTTTTTTCTTCTGTGGGTCAATTTTTGCTATTGTTCTGATGCAAAGAATTGAAAAATGGAAACATGTTGAATATGAAATGTTTTCTTCTAGAAAGAGAAAATCTTTACATTAAGAATTCTTACACTGAAATATTTTATTCTTCTCAGATTGTCTTTGAAACTGTACACCAAAAATACATTTTTTTCTGAATGGGGAGATATTATAATTTGCATGCTCAAGAGAAAAATGATACTTGCAAAAACAAGATAAACCTCTCCCCCAGGGACCACACAGAGAAGATATAGGTTTCTATTTTTTCAATAGTAGACTCACTTTATTTCTGTGCAGTTCTAAATATTTTCTATTCCCCACGCTAGTCTGAAAAGGATGCAGTGCAGTGGATAGCAATCTACTTATTTTCATGGGTTAGAAAAATAAATCTTAAGGTAAGCAGAGGAAGTATAATGATTTTGGAGTCTAAAATCAAAGTTTACAGACATTCTTCCTATAAATATGTTTTAAAATGTACAGGACAACACAAGATTATTGAAGTATTAGATACTAATTTAAATATACATTATCTTTAGAAAGCCCTTTTACAGTGCCTTTAGAAATTTTATTTAAACAAGAAGTGTACATGTTTTGAGCAGCTGGGAACCATATTTCATCTTTGTATGGTATACTTGGAGCCATATTCCAGAAAGTAGGCAGGTTTAGGATAAAAAAGGTCAGAATGAATTTAGATTTGATTTCATATAAATTTAAAATATCTTGCAATGTAATTACAGATAATATGGTGACTCCTTTTCCAAGTTTATAATAAAAAACACAGTTTGGTGACAGTTTCTCTGGACCTTCAGCAACTGCATGCAACTCTGGGTCTTGAGTTCATTTGTTGTCATTTAAAATTTACTAAAATATTTTCTTATTTTTCAGGCTTCATGGTGTCTTAGATAAGCTTCGGTCTGTAACTACAGGTATGTAAAGGCTACATTACATCTTTGAGATAACTTGAAAAAAGAATGTGTGCACATACTTTCATATAAATTTTGGGCATTCCTCAAAAAGTATTGATAAATTTATTTAGACAAGGTGACAATGGTCTAGGCAAGAAGAGCAATAAAAAGTGTTAATGTGAAATTTACAAATTGTTTCTTGTATAGTATGAATAAGAGCAGGTATATTTTTATTGAATCCACAGTGGAAGGCAATTTGCAGTTCTCTATAAATACCACCCTTAATTTTGAGGTGAAACCAATTTTACTTCTTTTTCTAGAGCCCACAAATCTAAAATCTTCTGAACCTAACATTTTTGAGAGCAGTCTCTCTTCTGGCAAAAGTGCATCAAGTCGGAATGAGGAGAGGACTGGAGAAGAAATCCTACAGCCTCTTACAGTGTCAAGTTCTCTACCTGAAAGGATCGACTTCCGAGTTTCTACCAGTTCTCAGGAACAGAGAGCTGCTGCTCTTCGGTAAGATTCTCGCTGAGTTATTAGGAGCTAGTGATACATTGCAGATGAACAGATGTACATCACAACATTTCTGGTTGAGATCTCAACTACACCATAAAATTACCAAGTAGACTTTAAAAATATAGCTATTGTTATTTAGATTCCCTCAAGTATAATGCCCCAGATAACTGAAGCTTTGTGTTTGTGTTTTCTCCCCTTCTGTATTTTCTCCTCTGTTCTTGTTTAGTGACAAACATTATTTTCCATCGCAACCAATACAGAAAACAGTGATTCATGCATACATTAATTTATATATGCTTCAGGACTTCAAACATACTTTGAAATTCAATTTAGAATCTTGGAAGCAGACGGATGGCTTTCTTTGAAATTGGAAATAAGAGGGAATCAAAAAAGACCTGAGGGGGTGAGAGACGAAATGTGGGACATAACAGCACATGAGTAATCCATAAACTATGATTGGCTGTTTAGCTTAAATTGAGGTACATCTGCATTATGGGAATGTTTGTCTATGATAAAGTAGTGATGGGAGGATTACTCAAATAACGTAAGGTGCTGCAACTTAGTGTACCCTTGTCTTTAAGGCTGGCTTTGGGCAGTTGGCACATTTGACAGTTTGAAAATTCAAAAGGTTTGAGTGACAATTTGGGTACTCAAAAAGAAAGGCAGAAAGAATCATGTGAAGAGGAGTTTGCCCATTCTGATTGGTGAAATTGCTCCTGAGCATCATGTCTGCTTTTCCATATAGTTCATTCCCCAGCTTATATGTATCTCTTTCTGGCTAAATGACCACATTTATGAACAAAGCACTGGATTAAAGCCTCTCATGGCTTTTTTAAAAGAAAGCCAATAAAATCTGTGTGTGTGTGTGTGTGTGTTGTATTTATGAGTATTTTCTCCTCCCCAAATAACCTGCATAGGAATGTTAAATTCACTGAAAATAATGGAAGATGAAACGCAAATGGATAAATAAAAGCCTTTGAAAATAAGCCCGAAGATTATTTACTGTTTGGTAATGGATGTTATTATAATGGATGTCATTATTTTTTAACACATTCATTATTTTTATTTCCTTCCTATCCAATTATATCTATACCTAAACTTTATCAAGTTTTGTTCTCTCCCGACTTTCTCTTTCCAGTTCAGCTAAGCTATTACTTATTAAATGATTTGTTTTATGGGAAATTAATATTAATTAGCTGTTAGTCATTTAATATGATTTAATATGTGTGTATATACATATATACATACGTATGTATGTATGTATGTATGTATGTATGTAAATAGTTCACATAAACACCTTCATTTGGGAATGTAACAAATAATGTAACAAAGAGAAGAACTTAACCATTATAGTCCTTTAGTGATTGCCTCAGACAGTGACTGTTCACACTTATGACTATGATAAAAAAAAAGCTTTGTGACCAATGCCTGCATACAGGATGGCTGCAGCATGTCTCTCAGTCATGTGTTTGCTATTACAGTTAATTTATACATACTCTGTGCAAATTCATAAGCACAGACGTGGTCACATGATTTTTATGCTTCACTTAATAACCAAGTTGCCAATACCAATTGTCATCACTAAACAATGACTAGTATTTATTTCTAAACCCCCTTTTGGGTAGACTGAAATTACCTTAAATTCAGGATCACTTGTCTTTCCCATTGATTCAGTAGCCAGGAAATCTAATCAGCATTATACAGCTTCGTAGGTTAAGCGCAGAAGGTTATCTTGAAAGCCCTAAAAAATCTGGTAGCATTTGACTATGTCAGAATTTCTTTAAACTTCTTTTACAAGGTTATCAAAAATTAACTACAAAGATAATCCATATGTAGCAATATATGCTGCTAAAATTATACTATGTAATAGAATTTCTAGATTATGTGGAATTGGTATTAGTTGCCTAAACTTTATTCTTAAGGCTATGCTTAACCAGACAACTTTTTCTAATAGGAAATTTTGGAAGAAATTGTGAAAATCAATCAGTAATTTTTCATAATGAATTCTGTTACTGATGTATTATCCATATGTCCTATGGCACATAAATTTATGAAACATAAAGAATTGATTTGCCAGATATCACAAATCAGTGGAAAACTAATGGGTGTCTTTCATTAGTTGATATAAATAATCTGTTTGAACATTCAGTTGAATATTTTGAAAACCCTATAGTGAAGATTAAATATACCGCATATACTCGAGTATAAGTCGACCCGAATATAAGCCGAGGCACCTAATTTTACCACAAAAAACTGGGAAAACTTATTGACTCGAGTATAAGCCGAGGGTGAGAAATGCAGCAGCTACTGGTAAATTTCAAAAATAAAAATAGATACCAATAAAATTACATTAATTGAGGTATCAGTAGGTTAAATGTTTTTGAATATTTATTTCAAAGAAAAACAGTAAACTAGCTCTGTAAGTGGAAAAGAGAGCCAACAAAACCAATATGGTATCAACAATAACTTTAAAAGTACAAAAAGCTTAGCTCAATCAGCAACCAAGCTAAAACACAAGAGTTAAAATCCTTCAAAACTGGATTCCTCCTCATCATCTGTATGTCCAAACAGAGCTTCAACTTCATCTGGTGTGAGGCTATCAGCATAGACATTGTCGTCATCACTGAGTTCGCAGTCATCACCATCACTGCTGTCGTTCTCATACAAAGCGCTGTCTTCACTGCCATCCATAGCATTACTAATGCCACATTTCTTGAAGGCACGTTGCACCATGTCCTCTGGAATCTCTTCCCATGTATCACGAACCCACTTTGCTATTAATTCTATGTCGGGCTTCATCAGATTTCCAACTTTTGTCAATCGGGCTTGACCAGATGACATCCATTCATGCCACATTTTTCGTACACGGTCTTTAAAAGGTTTGTTTAAACACACATCTAGGGGCTGCAATACAGATGTAAGCCCACCTGGAATAACGGCCAAAGTAACTTGAGAAGACTTTGCCAATTTTTTAATGTCATCAGATGTGTGGGCTCTGAACATATCCCAAACTAGCAATGATGGTTTTTTCTTTAAGGCTGTTCCTGGACGTCCATTCCAAATTTCTTCCAGCCATTTTTTTGTTCCGTCTTCATCCATCCAGCCTTTAATATGAGCACGCACTGTAATTCGTGGTGGGAATTTGACCTTTTTAGGCAAGGTCTTTCTTTTGAAAATAATGACAGGCCGCAGCTTAGTTCCATTAGCCAAACATGACAGAACGACTGTGAAATGGTTTTTTTTCATTTCCTGTGGTTCTGAGTAAAATAGTTTTTTCTCCCAAACTTGCCACAGTTCTGTTGCTAGGAAGATCAAAGGTCATAGGTGTTTCATCCATATTCCCAATATCTCCCAGGTCAAAGTTATGGATCCTTCTTTGTTTTATGATGAATGAATGGAATGACATCACTTTCTCATCAAGGTCTTTTGGCAACTTCTGTGAAATCTTTGTTCTTTGCCGCAAACATAAGCCATGTCTATTCATAAAGCGGGTACACCATCCTGCTGACACAACAAAAATTTTAATGCCTGGTGCTTTTAATTTGTCATCTTTAGCCATTTGAAGGGCACGTAAGCGAATTCCCATACGTGTCACGCAGTAACCATTTTGACGACACTCCATAACCCATTTATACAATTCAGTCTCTAGAGCTTCATATGAAGGCTTTAAACCACGTCGAGCTTTTTTTGCCTTTGGAATCTTTTCCAAGTCAGCTTTCATTTTCCGCCAGTCCCTCACTTGTTTTCCGTCAACACAAAATTCCCTACTTGCAATACTGTTATTGCTCTCTTCTGCTCTTGACACAACCTTAAGTTTGAAACCAGCTTCGTATGACCTGCGTTTTTGTTTTGGTCCAGGATTAGACATATTGGGATCCATTTCTAACAGGATAAAAAAAAAAAACTTTGAAAACTTTTGAACAGTACGCATGCACTCATATTATTTGTGGACAAAAGTGGATATTCATTCAGGCTAGAGTGCTTTAAAATGTAAATGAGGTTAGTTTCACACACACTCATGCACACCGTTTCGCTTTCCATAAACTAATTTTTTAGTGCATGACAGATGAAGTGCCTGACAGATGAAAGTCCTCTTAGGAAACTTTAGATCTTAACTGGCATTACATTTAAAATCAAACATGTTCACATCCTTAATATCTCAATTTTTTTCCATGGCAAAGTGTTTCTCAAATAATAATCCATACAAAATTCTCACCCACCTGCATTGACCAAATAAAATTACTAATATTTTGAACATGGAGAGAGCTGTGTACCTATCTGCCATTTAGCTGCCCAAAATGAGAAGCCAACCTGGGGGAGGGGAAGGAAACTCATACCACAAACATGAGATTCCACCCATTGACTCTTGCTAAAGTGCATGATAATTGCTAAAGTGCATGATAATCCTTTTTGTAATAGCATGTTAACTAAAGAAGAAATGAATTTGAGGGATGGTGCTCATGGCAAACTTTCTCTGCTTGGATTTTGGCTCAGAAGTCCTGAGAAACAATCACATTTCAATGGGCTTTAGTATCTGGGATATTAGACTTCCAGTATTCCAATATATTGGAGAAGAATAAAGGGTCTGAGATACTTTTCTCTCTGTTGATAATGGTACTTTTCATCAATCAGGTGGTGGGCTATGAAGCAGGAAACAGACCAAGTGTACAGAGTGAGAAAAAAAGTTTCACCTAGATGTCATGATCCAAATCAGAAAATAAACCAGGATAAGGCTCAATCCAGGTTTTAGTTAAGAACTAAAAGTTGCAAACTTCACATTTCAACTTTTTAATTTTCTTCAGGTTTTAGCAGCCCCAGTGATAATGGTAACAGCACTGAAGTAATAGTAGACTTCTATGAAATATAACTAAAAAGGCATGTTGCTTTCATTAGTGTCAAGATGGCATGAATTAACATGGCATAAATACTCAATTGCAAGTTAACTTCATTCACTCTTGGCATTAAAAAATGCCACAGGGAGGGAATTATTATCTAATTAAAACTTTCACTAGGACAGTTAAGAATAAGTTTGATGTTCACAATTTCCTCTTTGAAAAATACCAGTAAATAGGGAACAAGAAGATGAAGAATAAGAAGTGTGTTTTTTCACACTTTTCACACTGCAGTGAACAAAAATGGCATCATAGGAACAGGCTTATTCTCAGTCCAAAGGTTTGTTTCTGATTTCTTCCCTGATTTAAGGGAAATTTGGGGAATGACCTCACTATCATGAAAGGTTTAATTGATTCACTAACCCAAAAGAAGATGATGATGATGATGATGGTAGGCAGGAGTCACTCTCTCCCTTGCAAGAAAAAAGCAAGAGCCGTTCTTATGATCTCTCTCTCTCTCCGGAATAGTCAAGCCCTTTCCAGCAGGCGCGATCCACCCGCCCCTTTGCACCTTGCAAATGCAAAACCCCAGGATTTTGCATTTGCAAGATGCAAAGGGGCGGCGGTGGATTGCGCCTGCTGGAAAGGGCTTGACTATTCCGGGGGGAGAGAGAGAGAGAGAGAGATCATAAGTGAATCAATTAATTTGGAAAACGATCTCATTATGAAAGTCAGTGTTCTCTGCTAGTGGGGCGTTTGGAAGAAAACAACCCGCGGTATATCCACGTGTAAGGGGGATCAGAAATCCCCGCGTTAAGCCACGAAGTCCCCCAATCGCACAGCCCAGAATCGCCCTCCCCTCATGGGGCAGCAACGACGCTTCGGCTCCGCTTGGTTTTTCCTCAGCCCCAGCTGCCTTCAGTCCGCTGGGGAGGAGGAGGAGGTGGTGGTGGTGGCGGCGGCTCGCGTTGTTTTTTGAGCTCTAGGCTCGCAGGCTCATAAAACAACGAGAGCCGAGGTGCCTTCGGCTCCACTTGGTTTTTGCTTAGCCCCAGCTGCCTTCAGTCCGCTGGGGAGGAGGAGGTGGTGGCGGCGGCGGCGGCGTCTCGCCCCACGCCATTTTTTTTGAGAGGGGAATCTGACTCGAGTATAAGCCAAGGGCGGGTTTTTCAGCACAAAAAATGGGCTGAAAAACTCGGCTTATACTCGAGTATATACGGTAACCTTGTTCAGCATTTATTAGGAATGCTATGAATAGTTCTCCTCAACGTTTATTTTCATCTTTAGAAATGTTGTTATGGATAGAAGATACAGTAGGACAGCTGTCTTTCTTCCTTAAAATTACATACATATTCATGTTCATATGTATGTATACTCCAGTGTGAATTTGTTTTTTATTTGCCTTGTTTTCTCCCTCACCTACTAACCTCAGCTTATTTTAGTTTTTAACTCTACTACTTGTTTAGTTTTAGTTTTTATCTTTTTTTAATTAAAAGAGACATAAGAATATATTTGGCCTGGCAAGTTCCAAGGAAGCATCAGAAAGTACTATGTTAGTCATTGCTTCCTTAGAATAAATTAAACTTAGTGGAACCTGCCTCTGCAAATACCATAGTTGTGAGAGCAGTTGGAAATAATTGAAAAATGGAGAATCCCCCTAATGTCAAATCAAATAAATGCTCTTTGTAGATTAGATTGTTGCCTTTTTACTCCATGTCAGTAGCTAAGATGAACAATTGATGTACAGAATTTGTAAATTATATTTGTGCAGATTTTGCTATTGGCTTTCTCATTGCCTTTATTGCAAAGCTGTTTCTTAAAAGATGGCAGACAAAGTTAATCACCCACTTTCTCCACAGGCAGCCCAGTCATGATGGGTCACCATCCCCGTTAATGTCAACTGTAAAACCTTTACGGGAGCTATCCTCCTTGGAAGCTGTGATTGACATTAAGCCTGAACCAGATGATCTCATTGATGAAGATCTGAATTTTATACAGGAGAATCGGTTACCTCGGAAGAAGCCTCTGGTTACAGTAACATACGGCTCTTCGCGACCAACAGCTGAAATCTACCGTCCACCCGCTAGTCGAAATGCTGAAGGCAGTGTTCACTTGCAGAGGTTGCCACAGTCAGGCAACCTGCAGACTGGCAAGCAGCTTAATGTACAGGGTGATAGGTCACAGGAAACCATCCACCTTTGTGATCCAGATGTATTTGACAGCTTGGCCGAGAGTTACCAGCCCCCTTCAAAAGGGAACGCTGATAAAATTAGCAGTGAGGTAAGTATGTGAGTCCAAGCTATGCCAGTATTTAACATGTACTCAACAAACAGAGATCTCCATGGATACCTGAGGTCTTCTGTTCTAAACATAGCAATGTTGGTCAAAAATATCTCATGACTGGCATGTAAACTTTGTGGCATCTAGGCTCTAGTTGCTTTATGGATTAGAGGTGAAAAGTGTCTGTGGGGTATGTGTTTTTAGTCTAAAACAAATAGATGTTGTAATTTTATTATTCTAGCCATTGGCTTGGTTGGGACCAATGCTTTTACAATTCCAGCATGACAAACTCTGCTGATTAATACTAAATCAAATGGTTCCATACATTCTGCCATTAGGAAATGCTTTTCATGATAATCTTCTCCTATAAGACCATGGAGTACAATCAGTCAAGAATGGACAATTCTTACCCAGTGTGATATATATAATTAGAGTTTTAAACTCTTACTATTTTTGTGCACTGCTGCATTCCACTATTCGTGTCAGTGGTTCAGTTGTCTACATAGCCAAGAACCCTTATGAATCACTGTTTCTCAGCCTACCTCACAGGGTTGTTGTGAGGATAAAATGGAATCTTGCACATCATATTGATGCTTTAGATGGGAAGAATAATACATATTAAAACTAAGCATAGCTGCCATTCCTGTTTGAATGGAAAATGTGCTACTGAACATTGCCAGCCAGGTATATGAAAAATATTCCAGAGTAGTCAGGAAACCATTATTTCTTCAAGCCACATATATCTGACAGTTCCAGAAGTATCCCAAAAATTATCTAAAGAATTCTGATCCTAAATCAGATAGCTTGGGAGGGAGAGAAGAAAGGGGGATGCTAGCTTAATCTAAGATGGCAAGGGTTCAAAGCCTGAGGATGCCCCCAAGAAGGCCTTTTCTTACAATCTCAGAAGATATGAGGTAGGAAAAGAGTTTCTTCTCATGGTTTTAATAATAACAAATGGCTAATAATAAATGGCTTCATCATAGCCTCAGAAACAGACTAAAAGTGAGTGGAACTGTAATTTAACTCCTGTGACCAGTCCCATCATTATGGGCTAGTTGAAGTATCAAAACTATTACGGTGATTCAAATTGGGATATAACTAAAGCATGCATCACCATCTCAAGAAACAGGTGTAGTTGGTATTCTAGTTTGGCAGTCCACAAATTTCATTGGTTATTGATCTATTCCAGCTTTAGTTTCAGGCTTTAGCTTAAATAGCATGGGCCTGACTTTTCTTAGAGGCTATTCCTCTACATATAAAATTGAATTTGTCTACATATTTATTCATATTGTATATTTGTTTATCTGTGCAATATCTTTCATTTCTGAGGCATTTCCATTCACAGAGATGCAATTGTTAAACTGTGGAATTAGTATGAGAAAGGTGCATCAGCTTTGGGTTTGAAGCGTCCATCTCAGTTTGCTTTATTTCATGGGTATTTTTAATTAGGGTCTCCTGATACTTGTGTTTGCTAATGTCTACTGTGTATTTTCTGGTTGCTGATTGTTGCCATTTACAATCTGTACTTTGCCTTATTTTTCTGTCATATATTTTCATCTTTGTACATCAGGTTGAAACACTGAGAAACCTAAAAATTAATAAATGATATTCATCTCTTGATCCCCTTGCCTCTCCCTTTCTAATGTTTCTTCCTCTATCAAATTTAGATTTTAAACCTTTTGGGCCTTTTACAAAAGTCATCCAGTACATAATGTCATATTCTCAAATGTTCCCATTGGATAGTCCATGATGGGACTGTAAGTACTCCAGAGTAGAAGTCCCCTCCCTACAAAATTTAATAACCAAATCATGTGAGAGTGGTTCTTTTTATTTTTCTCACTTAAAATCCTGTGAGGTTTCACTAATCTTTAAAGTGTTTTCTAAGTGTGTGGGGTCTTTCAGAGGTTTTATGAAAGAGCGTTATATGGTCAAAGGTATCCCCAAACACTGCATTGCTAACAGCTGTCTTCTATGGAAATACTAAAAACATTTGATACCAGTGTAGTTTCACATAAAGGAAAAAATTGGAACTGCTGATTTATTTGGAAAGGAACTACTTGTGAGCCTACTATGTGATCTGTCAGGTTGTCAGGTTTCACTTGTTATAGATGGGGTAATATGTTTTTTAGGAATCAAATTTCATTGTTGTAGGAATGGAATTCTAGCACAAAATTCAAACAGCAGCACTTTGTTGATAAAATATATGATTCCTGTATTTTTTCAAAACAAATTCTCTTAATAGTATTTATCAAAGCAAGTTAACCTCATATTGTTTTGGTCTGCCAGAATGATAATTATTTCTGCCTTTCCTGAATTAAGGATATACTGTTACTGAAGACTTCTATACCTGCTTGATGTATGACCAGAAGTCATCATATTCTTAAGTTTTTAGGAGGCATTAATAATGGATAAATGATTAGGATATTAGTAGAGCTTTTTACGATAACTGAAATCATATATTTAATACTGAATAGAGTTCACAACACTGATTTTGAATTTGAGAATTAGTTAGCTTATTTTTTTTTAGAAAATAACATTTCTAGCCCTTTGGTTTGTTAATATATACATGTAAATATTTGAAATATGCTAGAGAGAAGATTTTCGGCATGATATATGGGATTCTGATCTAAAAACTTGCTATGTAAGCTGCATTTTATGATTCATACACAAAAGCACACATACAATCTTTTGCTGGCTCTTGTCTTTCCTAATTTTTATCTTTTATTCTCTCCATTGTAACTTTTTAAAGGCAGATAATAAATCATCCGCTCAGATTTCTGGGAATTTTGAAACCCTACATAAAATTCAAATCTATTTGAATGTTATCTTATTGTCATTGTAGATATTTTGAGTATCTGCATTTTTAAATATTTGATATGAGTTATCACTAAACATTTTTTATTTGTGTTTCAGTCTTTATATATGTAACATCATCCCCAGCACTGAGCACCACATTTGACAGTACTTGACTTTAAGCAATACTGATTGTGATTAGTTTGAATGAGGACGACTCATTCAAATTCTTGTTCAAATCCTGTTCTACAAATATAGTGAGCAATCTTATGTTGGTTGAACATTACCTCTCTCCTCAGTATACTGCATTGCTCTGCCATAGAGATAAAATGCAGAAATTATATATATATGCTTATATTAATTCCTTAAAGAAAAAAGGAGATATAAATGTGCTGAATGTTGAAAGTCCAGCACAGTAATGTTGTATGCCAAAAGATAAGATGAAATAACCTTTATTGTCATTTTTTTAATTGTGAGCACAGTGGCACACATTAAAAATGAAATTCCTGTCCATATTTTTGCCTTAAAACCTGGAAAGATAAAACAGCAGAAAAGAAAGAGTTAATGGAAAGATGATATAATTTGTCTTCTTGCCAATTATTTGGCATTGTTTTGATTATAAGCTGTGATATATCAAAGCATAGGATAGAGAATTGAACTAATTGATCTACAGGGAATTATTCTAAGGCTTTGAAACAAAATTGTTGCCCTCCAGATGCATCCAACTAAAATATCCATAATTGCTTGAATGTGTGTTCAGAAAAGAGTTGGACAACACTACTTAGTAAGTTGAATCCCAAAGATGCTTTTTCAAAAGGCAACTGGACTTTCTTTGTTTTTCCTCAAAGACGTTTTGCTTCTCATCCAAGAAGCTTCTTCAGTTCTGAAAGATAATCAGTTCTTTGATTCAAAAGACAACTGGACTTTGACGGTCCAGTTGCCTTTTGAAAAAGCACATTTGAGATAATCATGACCTGGATGACTTAGAATCTCCATAGATAAAAGTTGAATAAAAAATATTAATGGAAAAATAGTGCTAGAATATCGAGTAATGCGTCTGTCAATCTGTATGTTCTTTCATTTCGATATTTTGTATGGAAGCAACATTAGGAAGGGTGGGGATATAAAATAAACATATAGAATCTGTATTCCAAATGTGAACTGATTATTCTCCTGAATAAGAAAATTTCATTTTATATGCTGCCTTGGGATAGAATACATGACAGGTGGAATAGAAATATTTATCTAAACAAAATCAATAAACATACCCCCCAATATAATCTAGTTTTCACTATTTTTACTCTACTCTTACTCTATTGCTTGTGCAAAACAAAGCTAGAATTTTTTTCCCTCTTCAAAATGAATAAATAAATGGAAGTTTGGACACAGCTTTACTCTGTCCAAATCTGATTATATTGTTATATTTATAATTTGCTTAAAACAAAGGAGCTTGGTTCTCTAAAATCTGCTGCTTCTTCGCATGTTTATAATTTATAAAGTACTATCCAGACTTTTATTACTTGATCAGGGCCAGCAATAGCCTTCTTGATGGTGATTACCAGTGTTTTTTTAAAGGAAGCAAAATTTAAGCCAAGGTTACATATAACTCATCAGCACTCTTACCCCAGAAAATCCTCACAATGAGGTGGGGAGGCAAAAAAAAAAATCAGCTATTTTTGCATTTTGGAGTTCCCAAGGTGCAAAAATATTTTTAGCCTTAACAGATATTAAAAGCAAATGTTTAAGATTCTTTAAAACTTTTGAAATCTCTCAAAGTTCGTCATGATTCCACCAGCTTATGGAGAGCAGCTGTCAATGTGCTAAACACAGTTTTATGAGGGAGCCAACATCCCATTACATGCTGCAATCAATGTGAAAGTAAAGCCTCTATTACTTATTCCATTATATTTTAAAAATTGGATTGGATTCTTGATTTTTTCTTGTTCTTGAATCTTCTGTTGGCATCTTGAAAAGGTTGCTTAAATATATTAGTTTGGTTTTATCGTATTTTTATTGTTTTAAGCTACTTTGTGCTCTTTATGTCTATAGTAAATGTATAATAATCTCTCCCTCCCTCTCCATACATACATACCCAATTGCACACATATGAAAACATACTTAAACAGACACTGTTGTCTACTGTGTATCTCCCTAAAACTGCTCTCAGAACATATTGTGTGATATTCTTTTGTTTTGTCGTGCTGTATGGATTCCTTAGTAGTTTGCAGAAAGGAAATAAAAAGGAAAGAAATAAAAAGTGCTTGACTTGTGAAAAATCAGGAATTCTTTTACATAAATCTTCAAAGTATAATTTACATGGAAGTTACCCTGGCCGGGAAATACATTCACTGATAGATCAGATTTATCAAATAAAATATTATCCTATTACCTGCAGGAAGAAACATTGAGGAAGAGAAAACTCCCAGTTGTAAGTTCAGTAGTCAAAGTGAAACGGTTCGGTAATGATGGAGAGGAAGAAGAAGAGGAAGATGACTACGGTCTGCGACTGGGAGGCATTTCAAGTAGTGTGTCTGTGCCTGCAAAACCTGAAAGAAGGTACTGATCTCTTTTTTTAAAAATACATATTTTTGAATTATACAATTAATAATTAATATATAATTATATTTATATGATGGTAGCTTTATTTTAAAGTCTGGGTAGGCCTCTGGTATGAATCTGTAGATTTAGATTCATATATTCTGCAGAAAGCAGGTGTCTGTCTATACTAGATTTTGTTGATAATAGTTTTGATAAAGTGATAAAGTTGATAAAGTGACTGTGAAATGTAGCATACTTTACAAGGTTGAGAGACTGAGTTGGGTGACTATTAATGTATCTCCATGGATTTCCACCCTATTTTTTTTAAATGAAATGTGGCAAAAATTAAATATGTCAGAAAAATGGAAGTATTACTTTAACACCTTTGTATCTGTCTTATTTCGATCATCTAGGCCTTCACTGCCACCTTCCAAACAAGCTAATAAGAATTTAATATTGAAAGCTATATCCGAAGCTCAGGAATCAGTGACAAAGACAACTAATTATGCTACAGGTAGATCAATTTCTGAATGATTTCTATGCAAGTGTGAATGTAGAATGATACTTTCCACATCCGGTGAAAAGATAGCTTAGAGCAAAATGAGTTAGTTTTTATTAGAGTGATACAGGATTTTTGCTGCATCAGATTAACATGACCATCCTTTTGAATTTTTTTTAGCCCATATCTCTTATCCATAATAGCCCTTTTACAAGCAAAAATTTGCTTGTAAGTTGGCATGAAGCAAATGCAACCAAAGCCCGATTTGTTACATGGAAACAATTGTTCAAGTTTGTTTATATAATAGATTAATAGAACATATTTTTTCAGAAAAGTATTTAAGTTAAAGCTGATGAAACCTATATTGATTATGACTTACATTTCCCAGATTCTTTGGTCATAAAAATTAAACTATTACAATTTCAATATAAGTTCCTAGTGCTGATCTATTCTCAGATCTTCAATATATAATTTATAAGTTGATTGTCCACTTTTGACCAAAGATTCTCAAAAGTTACTTGCAGTTTAAAGAACCACATTGCAGTGGTAAAGATAATTAAGGTTGTCTAGAGGAAAGGCCTCTGAGGCCTTTGGAAAGATGACCATGTGTTTTAGTTCTGCAAACTGGCTGGGAGATTTTTTTTCTTTTCCACATGTTATATTTTTTATTTTCTTTCTTTCTTATTACCTTTCTACCTTTTTTCACTATTAAGCAGCCTCTCTCAGTCTTACCAACTGACCTTGATAAAAAGTTCTCAAAACCAGATTTAAGTCTGTTTGGAATTAATCTAACCTCTCTTTTGTTAGTAAAGCAGAGTATTTCTATAAAGGTTATCTCCATAAACCAATTAGTATGCTGTGTGAACAGTGGCATTTCCTAGTAATCCCTGCCTGCTTAGCCAATAATGAGGGATGCTGGGTCAAAATTGCAAATTACATGAATGATTCCACAGCACAATGGGTATGCGCACATTGGATAGCCCAATCTTTTATACTGAAAATTCAGAGTATCTTGAAAATAGTAGTCTTCCTAGTTAAGAACTGTATTTTGGGGCTAAATTTAGCAGAATTTTTTAGAACATCACAATTTGGGATAAAATACCTGTCATTGTTTGCTTCTTTGTATAACATATTGTTTTGGTTTATGGAAAGTCCCACCAAAGCAGACAGTTCCTGTGGCTCCCAGAACTCGAACTTCCCATGAAGAAGTCCTCCTTGAAGTAATTCATGGGCAGAATCAGCCAAGCAGAGTGAACTCTCAGATACAAGAAGAAGAGCCAAGAGAACAGACATTAGGAAGAATTCCAGGTAGTATTGAATATGGCACCATAGTCTCAAGTGATCAGAAAGCTCAATTATACCTAGATAGTGAGATATTGTAGTGGAACCTTGTCTGATGCACTCTTTAAAGGAAGATATTTCAACCTTTTTCTCACATCCAGAATAATTCACCTGTACTCAGATAAGCACAGAAACACAAGTAGTGCCAAATGGATTTTATATTGGAGGATATAAAAGAAGCTTCTTTAGATCTCAAAAATCCATGTGATCTAGCATGTTGTTTCTCATTGCAGAGCATCACTGTTCTGAGATAGTTCATCAGTACAATTTTAAGACAACCCCCTTCCCTTCTCCTGATAACATTTCTGAGCATGGAAATGGGGTAGGAAGGAAATGAGTTTGTACTGTATGTCAGTAGTCCCCAACCATTTTAGCTCTGTACCTGCAGTGTGGGGAGGGAGGGAGTGGTTTCATGCATGCAAACTAATCCAGTACATGTGCAAATTAACTTTGTGCACTTGCCCGCTGCTTCTGTGCCTCGTTTCCCAACGGGCAGCCAACCATTACCAGTCCATGGCCTTGCAATTGGTGATCCTTGCCATATGTTTAAGGGAACCAATCTGATTCATAGGCATTGAGAGATGCAATTATTTCATTTTGATTATTTTCAGTTTTAAAGTACAATTCTTGTCTTGAAAAATAAATGCAAAATATGTTTATTAGGGAATGGTGTATGTGAAAATAAATATTTTTGCCAGATTTATTTAAAATTATAGTTTATACGAAAGATAGAATCGTGTAAAGCTAATGTGGTCCAGAAATACACTGATTCATGTGCTTTTATTGTAAATTTGATTAGGCTGCTCCATGAATTTATCTAGTCTTTTTAAAAAAATCTTTAAAAAATCAATCCTAAATTTTGTGAGGTGCAGTTATGAAAATAGAGATAGGATGCAAGCCTAATGGCTACATTCAACTTCCTACCAAATAGAATTTGGGAGAGATTTTGTTCAAACAGTCTGAAAGAGATAGAAGCAGAAAATGTTGAATTAAAAAAGTTCCCCAAAATGGGGAAAGTTACTTCAGTGTTGTTCCCTAAGTTGAATTGAAGAGGAAGGAAACTTCATTTGAATTCTTCATTTATTTTAGGAAGCCAACAGAGGCAACTCTTTTCCCGTCTCCAGATTGAGCCGGGCACTGAAAATATATTACAAAAAACTGAAGGTTAGTTGTGGCTGGTATTTTTAAGTATTATCTTATATTTTAATACGCTTAGCAAAAACTAAATTTATTTTCTGATTTTTTTTAGTAAATAAAATTTCTGCTGCAGCAGGAATTGCCAGTCCGACTTCTTATGAGTTTTTTTTTTTAATATAGGCTTTGCAGCGTATTGTTTCTGTTGGGCTTTGCTATGTATACTTACTATTTCTTAGGGCTCCTGTGTTAAAAACTTGCCAAGGCCAGTATACAAGCTGCAGAATCATTGTTTGAATAGCTTTGTCTGCTCAGCAGAGAATAGTTTGCCATTTTTTAATGATCAGTAGTCATGATTTATCTTCATTGAGTAGCTTCATGCTTACTCTCCATTTACAGTATGTTGTTGATTTCAAAGCTGTGTGAGACATTTGCCATTTTCTCTGGTTTAGATTATTATGACTTGGAATCAGTGATCCACACAGATACAAGATCATTTATTTTGAAGAAGCCCAAGCTGTCTGAGGAGGTCACCATACCCAGAAACCTGGAAGTGGGAAACAGAACTACAGATGCCTTACAGGCACTTTCAGGACGGCTCATTCAGACACGGTAAAAAAAAAACAACCCACTCTTTTTAGTTCAGTAGAGACATAAACTTGGAACTAGGCGCATTCATACAGTGTATCTAAATAGTGAAATTGGTCTTTGCTTGCCCTAACTGTGAAAGTAGCACGCTTTATATAGAGACAAAGCAGATTGTGGTAGACTTATTTCATATGTTTCCTTAAGCCCCTGATTTGTCTATTCAAATATTTCTACCAGTCATAACTTTTCTAGTCAAGAAGCACAAAGAACAAAATTATGAAGAGCGGATAGATTTCCTTCTTTGCACAAACTAAGGATATGAGACACAAGTGTCATTTCCTCTTTAAGGGTATTGTACATTTTGAGGGAGAAGTGATTTAATCTGTGAAATCTTTTAGGTCTTAAAAAATAATTTATAAATAATTATGCGGTATTGATTGTTATTAATTATGTTCTATTGATTATATGTCATCAAGTAATCTTCAACTTGAATTGTTGGTATCAATTACCATTCCTTTGTTCTTGTTTTAGTAACTTAAACAATTTTTATTCTTTTATTATAGAGAGCAGCTTATGTTGTCAGAGAAGCCTGCTAGTCCCAAGTTTATAGTCACTTTGGATGGAGTCCCCAGCCCTCCGGGGTACTTATCTGATCAAGAGGAGGAGGAATTGAATCTTATGGAGGGAGTTAGGCCTATTCCATCCAAACCAACAGGGAGCAAGGGATTAAGAAACCTTCGCACACAACAGATGCACATTATATCCAGACAGCTGGACAGCACAGATGGTAACACTCTCATCCTCATTGATAAAGTCTTTATGGTATCTTGATTGCAAAATATCTTTGGGAAATTGAAAACTAAACTAGAGGCAGGAATTCAATGACTAACTTCTAAGCAAAATTTCTTAGGATATATAATTTTTTTACAGAACATTTTAAGTCTAAAAGAACGTAGATTTCATTCATCTACTCTGCCTGAAAGTAATTAGGGAACAGCACTGGAAAGAGAGGATGACCTGCCCCTTGCTGAAGGGGGATTGAAAGCCTAAGCCTTGTTTCTATACTCCTTATCTCAAGAATTAACTAGCAAGATCTTGTTATTGCCTAAGCTCTGGATGTCTTTGAATGCCAGATCTGTCTGTAATAAATCTCTTCTCATCCTTAACCTCATTGTGGATGAATACACACCTACTTCTATTACTGAGACTTGCACTGGCAAGGGTTTTGCCTAGCCAGGTTTCAGCGGTTGCCATCGACGGCGACTTGGTGTTTGAGGTTTTTCAAGGATGGCCCTTGGCCTCTGGAAGCCTTAGATGTTCAGATCACCATCTCCTTACTGCATTTTTGAAGACTTCTGAAAACATGGTTGCTTGGAGAGACACTTGGAGTTTGTTGGCCTCCTGGGGCAAATCGGATAGGAATCAACAACCAGATGAGCGAATTCTACTTTATTCTGGAGTTACAGTGTTGCCCAGTTTAGCAAGGTCAAACTTTCCCACATAAAATTACAGGGACACTTGAAGATTCTACTTCTCAGATAGTGACACATCAGGGCCATGTGGTTTATTTTTTTATGTTCCTTGCTTAATGACTCTAATTGGTACCAGATTTTCCATTGCTGAAAGAGGTGGATGCTAGGCAAAGCATCACTTGACAAAATTGCTTAACAACAGAAGCTTCAGTAGTCCAGATTGCTTCTCCTCCTGACTCTCTCTGCTTCAACTCTCCCCATATATCTCCCCCCATCTCTGGCCTTTTGGCCATCCTATGTTTCACCACCCTGCTGCCATCTTTGTTGCCCTGTGCTCCACTGCCTCTACTACCCTGGTTTTCACTGCCCCTTTCATCTCTGTTGCCCTGCACTCCATTCCCAGCTGACCTCCATCTTCCTCCTCCTGAAGAGGTGGGCCTGGTCTGGCAAAGCAGCTGTTCATGTGAGGCTTTTTTTCAAGCAGTTAGTGAATGAATAAATTTTACAACATGTATATAGCCGCCCATCTTTCTACCAATTCTGGCTGTTCTTGCTTCAGTCAATTTGAGAGTTATAAAAATTGCGTAGTGGCAAACTTATTCTGTCTTTGTGGATATTTCCACTTTTCTGAATTTCATTCTAAATTCTGTATATCTAAGTAGTTGTTTTTATCAAAACTCTCTTCTATAATCCCAATGTTTAACTTTGCTTCTTTGGCTATTACTCACAGTAGAGATGGAAGAAATAGGCATCTTACAGAAGTTGGAGAAAGTACCCGAGCGGTGCAAATACTGGCCTGCCTGCAAAAATGGAGATGACTGTGCCTTCCATCATCCTACACTGCCATGCAAGTAAGTGGCCCTGAACTTCTCAATGGAACTCCACCTAACTTGCCTTCCTAGTTTTCAGGCACACAGGTTAGCGCAAAAGAAACTTGTTGCATCACCAGCACCAGTGAGAAGATGTTTGCTCTAAAACTGAATTTCATTACCATGAGTCATGGCTGGAGCCAGTAACTAAAAGGATAAACAGGGATTGGAGGATAATTGGTCATTACCAATATGTAGCTTCCAAAGTGCTATCAAGATGTTACCAAATATTTCTCATTATTAGGCATAAACAACTTGACTTGAATTGACGGGTAGTCACTACTCCCAAAAAGGGGGATTTGCACTGTGAGTTTCACAGCATTACACCAGCAGAATAATGAACAAGGCCAAAACAAGACTGGAAATTCTGGATGTAGAGTGTTAATTTCTTACCGGGAAAAGACGGGTGTTTATCTATTTATATTAGGCAATTTTTGCACATTCTAGTGATTTATTTGGTTATTTTATGCTATAGTTCTTACTCCTCATATTTAATTGATAGTTGTGGAAAGGAACCTAGAGCTGTGCCAGGTTCTTGAAATTTAAAGCAAGAGATAAAAATTTTTCCACTTTGACTCTCCTGCATTGTGGGAAGAGTTCAGATGAAACAAACACTATTTTGTCAATCAGTGCTGAGTGACCCTAACCCATTTGATGGAACTGTGGATATAAGGATAACTGCCACTTTTTATAGAGCTTTATGCTAACATAGGAAATAAAGGAAACCTATTGCCCAAGAACTTATGGTCTAAATTTCAACAAAGAATGATCAGAGAGAAGAAGTAGGAGCAGCAAGATAGCAGGTTGTGTGGGGAGAAAGGCTTTTGGCCTGATTTTTAATTGGGTAGAAGATAGAAGTTCAGACAGAGATTTTTATTTTTCTGTCAAAGCATTAATCATTAATTTTTCTCCATTTCTACGTTGGAAGGCTGGGGTGAAAATGTATAATGCTGTCATAGTGTGTGAGTGTGAGCATGTTTCCCTATCAACCTATTTCTAGAAAATTGCTGAATATCAAAAGGCATCATAGCCTCTTTTACATAATTCTTACATTGAAATGTTTACAGATTTCTTTTTTTCTTCATTTTTCATGGTTGTAGCTCTTATGGTTCAGATTAGTGAACTTGCTCTCTATTTCTTAACCTGGGAAATTCATTAATCGTAAAATGGTGAAGATTATTTTTTTTCACACATTGGTGAAGGACCTTATAGTATAATTGGGTACTTATTTATCAAATATTGAAACTGCCTATCTCCCTCAGAGGGACTCTGGGTGATATACAAATAACTTGAACAAAATCCAAAGCCCTTGGGAATCCTTTGGGCCTTTGGCAGTTTTTTTGGGTCATTTGGGACGGGAGATTTTGCACATTTGTGCACACATAGAACAACCAAAATACACATTTTGGTTTAACCTCTACATGTGGAAATGTTTTCTGCTACTTTGATTTTTTTTTTCTGACTTCTGTCAAATTTTAATCAAAGTTTTTGGAGCTTGAGTTTTTTTTTAATCCTCACTGATCTCTTTCATGACTTGACTTGAACCTGAAAACCCTATTCTCATGTTTTATGTAAAATTATATTCTGCATCAGTAAACATAAGCAATTTTGAAAGGGTGCATCTTGGCAAGCTCGTTCTGAAGGAATAAGTATTTTGCATTCCTATTTCAGAGTCTTTCCAAGCTGTAAGTTTGCTGACAAATGTTTATTCATCCATCCAAACTGTAAATATGACGCCAAATGCACCAAACCAGATTGTCCTTATACTCATGCCAGTCGACGGGCACCGCAACCACCTCCTAAACAAGGTAAGATTTTCTCAATATTTAAAAAAATGGGCTTTCTTAGAATATGCCAATGACAGCAAACTCAAAAACAAAGCCTCATAGTTGCATTGTCAAAATAAAACTGCCGCCTAAGAACAGCCACTAAATTCCAATTGGTTGTGAGCTCTCTGGTCATATGTAGTATGGTCAAAGAGTGGAGGATGTGGGTCCAGTTCCAATGCGTTGCGCATCAAATACTGATCATAACTTGGGATAGGGCATTAATGGGTACCCCTCTTTCTTCATTTCTGCAATGTGATGGGCCCAGCTTCAGTTCTCAACAAAAATTGCTCTGTATGCGCAGAATGCTAAGATTCCTCCCTTTCTAAAGCAATCTTGGGCACAGCATTATTAATGCCACTCTTTCTCATGACTTATTCATAAAACTAGCAGGAAATCTATTATTTTTTTACTTTTTGGAAATCACAACAGTGCCTATTGAATTCCATCATGACCTCCTACCCTGCTAGTGGCTAGGGTCAAAATTCAGCAACTTCAACTGTGTGATCTTCCATAATTATACATTGGGAATTGTAGGAGCCACCAATTAAAATTACATACCTATATGGCAATACTCGCAAGTCTTTAATTAAATATTTAATTAAATATCAAGCTTTGGAATAACTTAAGAATAGCTGTTTCTTTCTCATTAATTGGTTTAGCAGTTTCAGCTCCAGCCCCACCACCATCTTCTACCAGCCAGCTTTGCCGTTTTTTCCCTTCGTGTAAGAAAATGGAATGTCCCTTTTACCATCCCAAAGTAAGTCTTGTAGATAGATTGTGTGTGTGTGTGTATGTGTGTGTGTTACAGAGAAAAATTGGAAATGGCTGAAACCTGGGCATTTTATATAAAACAGGATATGATTATATATACAGGTGTGTATGTGTCTCTTGTCTGCACACGTGTGTGAGAATTTGAAAGAAATAGATGGGACAATGAACAAAAATGGGTGATGAAACTTGAGAAGGGAAGAATGATCCAAACAGAAGTCAAATGGACATTGTGCACATAAGACATGAAGTACACAAGACAAATGTGTGGAGAGAGGAAAGTTATGCTGGTGGTGATGAAAGATCCATTAAATATGGGAAAGAGAAGAGACACGTGAAACATCAATCTGTATTAATATTTAAGTTTACAGAGTAAATATAATATGCAGGATTTTGGTAATGAAGGCTGGAATCTGTAAAGTAGAAATCAGCACCAGGACACCAAAATGGCATTCTGTGTTTAGAAAAACAGACAAACATAATAAGTAATAGCAAGTTGTTAGCTTGTAACATCCTATGCAAAATTTCTCAATTGGTATTTTGTTATTATATAGGATCTTTCCTTTAAGACTATATTTCCCATAAAATTTATATTTTTCAAATTCAGCATTTTGTTACTTCTAGTAGTACAATTTTGGGTTAAACTCTAGGATAGAGTTTTTGCATATTAGCATTTGCAGCTTTGGTGATGGCTTTCGCATGTGAATGCACAATCAGTGATGCCACAAATAGACGTTTGCGTCAAATGCATTTTTTATGATTTAGGAGTTAACTTTAAAAAAAAACCACAGTAATAGAAATTTTCCAACTTTGGTTCAGTTGGCTTAGTTTAGATACTTGAACGATCTCATTGAGGAATTGCATAATTTTTAAAGAAAAAGCATATACTAAATAAATTAAAACAAGCCAGATTTAATTCTTGCAAGCAGTTTTTAAGCCTTTCATTTATCTTGTTAGCACTGCAGGTTTAATACACAGTGTACCAGAGTGGACTGCACATTCTACCACCCTAATGTTTCTGTACCACCACGTCATGCCTTGAAATGGACTCGAACACAAACTAGGTAACTAATTCTTTTTACTGTCTGTAATTACATGTCTTAATAGAACATGAAAATGTACAGTCAGGCATAAAACCTATGTTCTTTATTGTTCGCTGAACAATGTGTATATTGAAACTTCAATTTTGACACATTTGAAAGATGATTTCTAGAGAATACTATTTAAATGAGAGAATGCTTGCTAATTTTCTGTATTTGTCTTTCAGTGAATAATTCAGAGATCGCCATTCAATTTTCCTCATTGTTCTATGATGGTGGCAAGATGCTGGCTGATGGTACAAGACGCTGTAAAAGTTTGCCACCTACTCCAGGCTTTGAATATGTATTGTTTCATAAAGTGAAATTGATTACACACTTGAAATATGTAATTTTCAACTGTTGTATATTTAATAACTGGTTTTACATATTTTTACTGTAAAATTGTCTGTAGGAAAGAGGAAATTTGCTTTAATTCTTAATTAAAATACCAAGGCAAGCATTTTGTTCTACATATATTGACGTATTGTCTTTTTTACTACTGAAAAAGTAGACTTTTTGTTGAAAAAATAGGTCATAAGCTATCTAGAATAGTTCATATATGCTTTTAGGAGAATGCCTTTTCTTGAAAGTTCTCTTTTCATAGAAAATGACAGGCAGCATTCTCTCCCCCGACTCTTCTTTTGACTTTTCATTTCTTTACTTAGTGACTATATTCAGAACAGAAATCAGTATGAAGGCTTAAAGCAATCCTCTTTCACATGGAACTATATTTCAGATCAGGAGTTAAAACTGGATAATTAAGACTGCAATCATATGGGTCCCCAGCTGCTATTCCAGGGACTGTATGATGCACAGATGGGCGTTCACTAATAGTATAGAAAAGGCCCCAACCTTGGTAATAGTATAGCTCATTGCTTGCCCTTACTTGTTTCCGAACAAAAGCTCTCTCCAGTGTCCTAAAGGTACCAAATTGGCGTAAGTTTGCAATAAAGGTAGATTGTGATCAGCTACGTATACTGATATTTTTCAGAAATATGGTAGAAATGGTGATTTGTTGCAGAGGCTGTGTGAGTACACAGTCCTCCAAGCTATTGTACTCCCTTAGCTGCGATTTATCAAGAGCTCTACGTTGCATCCATACTCAGTTTTAGACATGGATAATGAATGGTAATTCCCAGGAAAGATGCGACATGGTAAGGCCACTATAAAGGTATACATTCTATCAGGCTTATATAGCATGAGAAAGTACACCTATCAAAAGTTTATGAAATCTCACCAGCCAAAATTCTGTTGAGCTTTTTGGTTATAGCATTAATTAATTAAGATTAAATGGTAACAATGTGTTTTAAATTACATCCTTTGCACCTTTTACTAGGCCAGGACATTGTGTGAAATTGTATTGTGTACCTTGTGTTCAATTGTTACTACCTAAATGTGAGATAGTTATTTTTTAATGTTTATAAAAATAATTTGGATTTTTAATTATTCTAAGTTGCCCAGTCACTTAGATGTTAATTAAATGAGCTTGAAGAACTCCACCCTACAAAAAGCATGTGGTTATTACTATTGAGTAACACCACAAGTTTGTAGATGTAAATCATATCCCGGTTAAAAGAACTATCCTTAGACCTCAGAAAAAAAAATGTCAATACATGTGAATCTGGAAAGGGTCACAAAAACATTATCATATATTCTGGTACCATCAATCCAGTGTTAAGCAGATAATATATAAATGAAGAAAATGCTATGCCATTGTTACGTGTTCCAATAGGTGTCCAATACAATCCACCCTAATAACAAGATGTACAATATTCTGGGAAAGTTGTAGTCTCCAGATTAATGTCAAAAATTTGCAGGCCATCATAAAAACAAATCCTGAAAAAGAATGTGTCTTGGAGGATGCAACTGCTTTTCACTGCTACTTGTTTTAAACACACGTGGCTGATTGCGCAGGACTGTGGAACAACAATCTGAATAGCTTGGACAAATGTAGATTGTTTTTGCATCAATGAGAAATTGATGTTTGAAAAAAAAAATACATTTAACAAAAGAACCTCATCTGACCCATGCAGTATAGTAATGGGAATATCAGGATTTGAGGCTTCTTTGCAGCCATTGGAGCCAGACAACTCATAATTGATGAGCTAATAATTTCAGGACCATATCAACAAAATGAAGCCAAACTGAAATTTAAGCAAATGTAGATCGTGCTGCACAACTGCAATCCTATACACGCAAATCTATGACAGAATAGCTAAATCGGAAGACGTTCTCTTTATTGGAATGGTTATCAAAGCCCTGATTTTAATCTATTGCACTGTAACGGGTCTGAAGCAAGCAGTAAAAGCCCAAAATATCAATAACTTGAAGAAGTTGTATGTACTTCCATGCCAATGTGCAGAATTTACTAAGAGATTCAGAAAATGTTTCATTGAACGACTACTGCTGAAGTATATGCCACCAATTACTGTAAAAAATTCCAGCAAAGGTAGAGAATGTTTAGTTGAATATGTTCAATAAAACATTCTATAAAGTTTTACAACAATGCCCCTCACAAAAATGTTTTTTGTGTTACTAATTTGTGTTACTAATTAACTCTAATATGTAATTTACATGAAGTTCAAATCACACTGTAAATCACATCTTTACAGGCTTATGGATAAGTTTAAAAGGTTCACAAAATTTCTTTCTCCATTATTCATTACCATACTATGATCACATTTATCTTGCCTCTTCCTCTGGGAAAAAAATCCAATTTCAAATAAAACTATTTCTCAACTTTTAATTGCATTTCCTACCATTTCATATGTTGATCTAAAATATCTCTAAATGAATGTAAGGCTGTCCACTCTATTGCCTCTATACAAGTTACTTGAGAGTTTTAAAACAGAGCCACAAATGCTTACTATGAGGATCAGATAAGAAAGAGAACATCTCTTTTCATACTCTCAACAGCTAAAATTTTAAAAATATATAAACTAAGCATATTTCACACCAGTTTAGTTAACAACCACGTTTTACTTTGCCAGTTGTTTAAAATATTTTCCTTTTTTACAGTAGTTTGCATTACTTGACAGTTTTATTTGGCTCATCCTTTTTTACACTAGACCTGATTCTTGAAAATAGATGAGTAACTGTTCACTCTTGATTATCAAGGATTGTGCAAGGTTGTTTGCTTGTAGTTAATATTTATTTATTTACCAGGCTTATATCCTGCTGCAATTGTAGGATTCTTGCAGTTCACAAAATAAGAATGTACAGCAAAGTATAAAACATACATCAAATAAAACGGTAACAATGTTGTATTTTTTCCATTCTTCCATGAAAGCTAAATTAGTAATTTTAGACAAACAGCATTAAATGTATTTTAGACAAACAGTATTAAATGGTGTATAAGAAAACATTCAGCAAGTTTTACAACAGTGCACCTCACAATCTATTTAATTCTATACACAGAACCATGTCAATTAAACCTTAAGTATCAATTAAAAGTTACTTCCTTTTGGATATAATCCCAAATTGAGATTCTGTGTAGAAGATAGAAACAGTAAGTAAATATATATAAGTAAATATATTTTGCGTTTAACCCACTGATAGTTCTGTTTAGACTGCTACAATTGTTCCAGGGCTCATAGGATGACAGTACTATGGGATATTTGCAGTAAAATGAAAACAATCTTGTAAGTGTGGAGAGCATTGATAGTGCCAATATGTTTTTAAAATATACTCTGTACATGATTTAATGCAAGTTAGGATTTAAGTTTTAAAAATGAGTCACAAAATTCTTAGCATATTGAATAATATTCATGGCCAGTTTGGGTCCAGTTTGAAATGGAACTAAAATGAAGGTTCTCAAGAAAACTGAATGCCGTGTTTGATGTATTTCAGTGTTACCAAAAGACATTTTGAAACATGTATATTTGGCATAGTACATATATTGCATTTCATACTGTCTTTGAGCAATTTTAATGAGAGTTATGTATTTTAAAAAGTTTAAGGATGACTTATTACTACTATATAAATGCTTAAAAACTGGTCTCCCTATTTGCAACAGCTTTCCATTAGTAGCAAAGGTATATTTTCTTAATGATTATAAAAGTTTCAAAGGGACATGAAAGGGTGTTCACAGATTTTAAATAAGTAGACAAGTGATAAAAAGGAACATAAAGTTAATTGGAAAAATGATATAAAAATGTATACATGTATATAAATGTACTTCTTTATTTCTAACTGTAAAAAGATTGGACAAAAATGTATGTCAAAGAAGAAACACCACGTTCACTGTTTTTAATGTTTATATCTAATAAAATTTATTTTTTAAAAGTTTCAAATCTCTTAGAAGTGGAATACATTGTAGGGTTAGAAGGTGCTGTGCAGGTCCACCAAGTCCAACTTCCTCATTGAAGACTGGAATCCAAATTGAAGTATCGCTGACAGATGGCTAATAGTGACATGAATGGGAACTATCATCTTGGTAATTGTTTCTAGTTCATATTGATCTCATACTTAGAAAGTTTGTTTTAACATTCCATTGGAATTTACCTTCCTATAATTTGATTTTTTTAAATTCATCTCCATTCTGGAACAACAAGTAATAAGTCTTGGTTTATTATAAACAATGTTTTTCAAGTGTTTGAAGACTATTACAAATTCTGTCTCAGTTTTGTTTTATCAAAGCTAAACATTCCTGTAATCACTTCCTATTCCAATATCTTTTTCACAAGTACTGGCTGTTGCCAAAGCAGGAATTTCCCCAATCTAGTATACATTTTATTTCTTATTTCTATTTGGTTATTATTTTCAGCTAAATGATCAAGATCATGTTGAATTCTACTTCTTAAGATTTGTGTCATCGCTAAATTTGATGAGCATTCTTTAAATTTCTTCTTGCAAGATATTTGTAATAACATTGAAAACATAGGAATGTGGATTGAAATTTGTGACATCCCTCTTGAAATGTCATTCTAGTTTGATGAGGAAACATTGATCAATGCTCAGAGCACTCTCCACTTATGTAATTGTTATGCTTATCCATCTCACAGCAACTTGATAATCAACATCTCACAGGCACTTTGTCAAAAGGTTTAATGAGACAAAAACAAATTACATCTGCAGTATGCCGATAATATCTGAAGGAACTTACCTGGTCAAAAGATGGGACAAATTCAGTCTGAAAACAACTGCTAATGACAAAACTGTGTTGGTTATAAATTACCAACTCAGGATATCAGGATATCTTCAAATAAGTCTTTTTGGAATCTGTTCTAGAATCTCCCAAGGTGTTGATGTCAGATTGATTTTTAGTAACCTGCATCTTCCTCCCCCTCCCCCATACATTAGTTTTCAAAGTTAGGCATAAAAACTAGCCTCCTCCTATTCTCCAGGTGTTTCCAAAGATAATATGTAACATCAACAAGTTCCTTCAGTACCATGGGATCTAATTTATCTGGTCCCAGACCTTTGTTAATTCACAATATATTCCCTACCCATATTTTTATCAGTTTCAAAAATTCATTCATTCTTATTGGAAAAGACTGAACTTAGGTAGTTTCCTTTTGATCATCTCCACTGAGCAGCTGGTATATTTGTATTCCCTTGTATTTCTCTTGTCTTCACTGAAGACGACATTTCTTGTCATATTTCACTAACCTAAACTCAGATACTGAGTAAAGTCCACATAATTAAAAGTCCCCAGCTTTACTACTTCCAAATTGCAATCTAAAAGATGTGTGCTATTTGTTTTTGCAAAACATCTATCTCCTGGGTAGGCAGTAACATACCATCAATTCTTACATTTAGCTTTAACCCTGATAATCTCTACAGTAACGCCAAATTCATTTATGGTACTTGGATTTGGGAGCATTTGTAATATACAGTGTGACTTTCTTCTGCTTTGGGACATATTCTATCTTTCAATTATAATTACATACTTATAAAATCAGTATCCCTAAAGATGCACAAATAGTTGCTAGGGAGGATAAACTGTTTATCTGTAAAACAAAACGCTGTGATGCAGTCAAACCTTTATTTTTTTCAAGATGAGATATCTTTTTCTAGCAAAAGTTGTTTTCCTGTGGCTTCTTAATTCTCCCACCACCACCACCAATTCTTTAGACACATCTCTTCCTACAAGGATGTTTATACCTGTTAAGAAAAACTTGACAATGCATCTTGAATGGATAAGTATTGGTTAGTGGACAGTCTAGTTACCACTACAAATAGGAGACGCAGACTTTTACTTTTGGTATATTCACATGGTATAAAATAGAATGGTTGAATAAAAGTGAATATTACACTTGTCTGGCAGTAAACTATGATCTATTCTTTCATTTTATCAATAAAGGAGAAGATTAGTAGCTCAGGATTGAAATGTGGGATCCTTGATGCTTTCTGAGCTTGTTTGTTATTTCATTTTATATCAGTTATGACATTTTCACCCATAATTATAGTCTGTAATTTGTTTGGCTTAAAAAATGCTGACCACAGCCATAACAATTGTCTCCACATTATACAGTCTTTGTTAGCAAAAAGTAATAGTCAACATGTATATTCAGGGTTTACAGATATGTAAATGTAATATGCATAATGACTTGGATCAGTGGTGGGATTCAAAATTTTTTACTACTGGTTCTGTGGGTGTGGCTTGGTGGGCGTGGCAGGAGAAGGATACTGTAAAATCTCCAGTCAGAGGTGGTATTTGCCGATTCTCTGAACTACTCAAAATTTCCACTACCGGTTCTCCAGAACTGTTCAGAACCTGATGAATACCATCTCTGACTTGGATGGAAATTTTCAACCTGCTTTTTATATGCCATTAACTAGTGTAGCATCAAAAAGTTTATTATAATCATTAACAACTTTTGTCACTAGCAACAATCATTCAACAATATAGGGGAATACCTCCTGTTGTCAGGATGTTAAAAAGAAAGGATTTAAATAAACTGATAAAATCTTTCTATCTCATGTCATATTAAACTCAACCACAAACGAACATAAGTTTATTTAAAGTTGTTTATAAGGGTACCCAGGATAAGAAATGTAGTTTCACAGTCAAGAAATATATCTTAAAATAATCCATTGGCATAATTCAACATATTCAATGGGACTGTAATTTTTTACCCCTGGAATACTGTAACAGTCCTCTACGGCTCATATGACGCTGGTTTTAAAACCAATTCATTTTCTAAACCAGGTTGTAATATGGCATAAGTCTGATATCCCACCCCCATCTCGCCCTAAAATTTACACAGTTCATCATTGTAATAGATTCCTTAGTGTTAACTTTATGCAATAATATATGCAGAAATTTTAAAAGTATATAATAAACATTACATTGCATTCTTTCTAAATACAACATTCTCCTTTTACTACAGAATAGTAATAATTCCCTCTTAGAGAAGAAGGAAATATCCACCTTATAGCACCTATTAAACATTTCAGGAAAACACTGGGAAGGTTACATATGCATTAGCCAAGAAAACATGCAAATTAGTCCTAACTGAACCATTAAAGCATGCTTCTTGGTTTATCCTCTAGTATCTTTTAGTATTAAAAATATACATTTCAAAACCAAGGTTTACATCTAGGACTCAAAAAAATAAGAACACTTGGATTTGGTTTGCTCATTTCACAGTGACTGGATAAACCAAGACAGGAGGAAGCAAAGCCTAGAATAAAAAACATTTATACAAAGAATCCTCTATCAGTTTCAGGGTTATACATATAGGCTGAAGTTCATAGGTTCAGGTATTCATCACACATTGCAGAACATTTCCAGGTCAAAATTCACAAGCAAAATAATCACTAGAAATTGAATTTCTTGCAATGAGCCCACGGTTAAGATTGGAAATTGTCATATTTAGGCTTTGTATGGCTTCGGTGTATCTTATGTCATTAAAATTGCATGACTATGTTTGGGAAAGGTAAACCTTGTATGTGATTATACAGGAATCAAAATAAAAACCTTCAAATATATGGGGAGTGTTAGTGTAGAAGGGGAATAAATTAGTTTATGATTTCTTAATAGCTAACTCCTTAAAAGGGTGCATTTATAGTCTCTTTAAATTGTAACACACAAAATATGCATGTTTAGTTTCATCAAACTCTGTTTAGTAAAAGGACTGGTATTTTGAAGGCTGTGGTTGGGTATAATAATATAACACTTTTCTTCCAAAAGGCAAGAGCAGTCACAAAATCCTAAACATCTACAGCCAGAATCATGTTTATCCTCTTGTGTTTGGAATATCCATGGATTTCCCCTCTCCTGAAAGCATGTTTGAAGAGATGCACTAGCAAACTGAGTTTCTACCCAGTATGTTCCTGAACTCAGTTGAACTACCCCAACACACTCTACAAGGGTAATTAGGTATTTTATAATAGAATGCACATCATGTCCCCATTACTTTTTGTGCGATACTAGTTACCCGTTGGCCTCTGGGTGCTCTTTATCACCAAATAAAACTCAGAGGGCTTGTGATTCAAGGAAATGCCTTTTTCTCTCAGTTGGGAGAAGTTTAGGTTGTAATCATGAGAGACGCCCTTAAAACTCCTCAGACCTTGGAAATTTCCACTTTGACTGGCTCTTTACACAATTAAAAGAAAATGGCTGCATTGTTTTTCATCTGATGGGGAAGGACTGCTGAAAAACTCATAAAAGGAAAAGGCCTGCATTGAGTTCACTATTTATCAAAAACCCTGTTCAAATAAGAAATAATAACATACACTTGGGATGGGCGGGTTGTGTGTGTGCCTTTGAGTCAGTTTTGACTCTGGACAACTGCCAAAACTAGTCCCTCCAGTTTCTTCACAAAGTTTTTCAGAAATGGTTTGCCATTGCCTCCTTCCTAGGGCTGAGGGAAAGAGTCTAGTCCAAGGTCTCTCACCTGGCTTTGTGCCTCACAGTCTTCTGGTTTCTAGCCTGTTGCCTACACCAAACTGGCTCCCATTTCGGGGGGAAATAAAAAGTGGAAGAGGCATGCTATGAAAAACAGGTACAATGCTTAGGTTGACTGACATTATAGAATCCCAAACTAAATCTTATCTGAATTTGAAGGTATAAATTGAGAATATATTTATTGTAGGTACCTATGGCTGCCACTTGTGCTACAGATTTTATGTCTTCTTTTTGCCTCATTTGCTTCTGGGAGATCTGGTCTATTATTTTTCTTAGCTGTAAATTTTCTTGTGATATCTCTGATCCTTCTCAATATTATTATACATGCTTTCAAGTATTCAAATGGGGAAGATAATTTGTATTTAAGGAATCAGGTTCATTTAGATGCCATCATTTTAAGATG